CAACTGCTGCAGAATTATAAAGCAAGTTAGCTAAAGGTGGGTCACATTGGACTACCACTCAAAGAAACAAGATACATAATAGATGGAAGGTACATGTGGTGTGGCTTAGGGAGAGCGCACCAGTGCCAGATGCATGCCACTTTCAGTAGCTGCCAAATGTGCCTTTAATTAAGAACATCTCTAATTTTTTCCTTCAGATCAAGTCAGCATTTGGGGGCGGGATTAGGGCAGGGGACTTTGGGGTGCAAATATCTGGTGGAACCACCAGAGAATTTGAATTTGTTTGTCAAAGTGACATGTATAATTTTAGTTGAGATGTGTTTGTGTATATATGTGTATTTGCCTTTGTTTAGTAGCACGGTTATTTGCTAAAATGTCAAAAAATTGATCTGTCAGTCTTACTTTGATGTAAGAACAAAGTGTGGTCTATACATCTATTATGGCCTTTGTACCTAACCATGTTCGTAGGTAATCTTTGTACTCTGTGTGCAGCAGTATTTGGTTTGCATTTAAAGTGAAAATAATGGCTGTTATTTTTCTGGCATTACTAAGATAAACCGAAAATAATAAAGAAAAATGCCTTACGTAGCCCACAAGTGTATTATTTTGCATGTATTTATTTTAGCGGGCAGTATTTTTAAAGTCATTAGTGATTCTCATTTAGCTCATACTTGCCATATAGAAATATTCTGCATTTTATCATGGTCATACTTTGGAAGCACTTTTTCCTCTATCAAGTTATTGTAAAGGGGTTAAAGAAATTCCCTTTTTCCTTCTGTGTCAAATCACATGATTGTAGTGACTGTGGGAGGAGGCTCCCGGGATGAAAATTAGTAATTTAAAGTGACCTTGGTGTCACCTGGATGGAGTTTCAGAGGGGCTGAGGCATTTATGTTCCATAAAAGAAATTTTAAGATATCACAGTTCCCTGACAGGCAGCTTCTGCTGAGAATGAGGTAGCTTGACCTTTGGCAATTCTTTCTAGGCTTGGCATGAAAATATAGAGTTTCACATATTGACTGCTACACTAGAAAAATTTTTTTTTCCTTAGGGCCCCAGTGTTTTATTACAAAAATAGAATAAAAGCTTCTAAAATAAAACAATCCTTTCTAATTTAATGAAAAATTTGTTATTTTTTATTGTTTTTTGTGCGTGAGTTATATGCAACTTAAAAAATAGTTTATGAGGCTTCCAAGGTAAAGAGATGTGAGTTACACATGCTTCACACGGCCCCGGGCTCAAAACTAGCGTTAGTTAAATGCAACTAACAGGGCAGTTAATGTGTTAAGTTTATAACTAAACAATTATGCAAATGTGAGGTCATTCAAGGTGAACTAAAGAATGTTAAAATTGATGAATCCTTAGTGATCCAATCCCCTTATTTAAAAATTAAGGCAAGTGACACCGAGAGATGTGAGATGACTTAGCCAACATCAAATTAGTGACTGAGAACACTGAGTCAACTTTGATCTCTAGTATTTGGAGGACTTTTCACGAATACCTAAAATTGGTGATTTCCTCCCCTGGTTTAAAGACACAATATCATTGATTTATACAAATTCATTTGGTAAAACACTGTGAAATCCAAGCATGTATTATTGAGTATATTCTAGGTGATCAATTAAATAGCTATAGGAAAATGATGTTAACACTGATATTAGTCAAACTTGATTCTGAATTTGCTCTTGAAACAGGACTTCTTTTGAGCTTTAACCAGGGATTTGCTTTTTCACTTATTTTAATCATGTTAGATCATCACAGATTCAGGGTGCTTAAGTCTCTATGGTACAGCCCATAGTTAAGCTTGCCTTTTTGCAGATAGATGCACATGGCTTTCAGAGGCAAGAAGGTCTTTAATAGAGTAAAATTCCAAGAAAATTTATGGCCATTCTAACATGTTAGGGTTCTTAATTATTATTGCAGGCAAGAAAAATGATAGCCCATGTAGAAGTTAGTTTCTCTGCCTTAATAACTCATCAAGAAAAGAATCAATTTGATAATGTAAAACAAGAGGTGCTTTGGAATCATACCTGTGTTTACATTCTGGTTCCATTATTACATGAATGACTTTGGAAAAGTTATTTAACTAATATGAGTCTGTTTCTCATGAACACACAGAGGTTAACATCTGTTTGAGATTGTTAGGAAGTTTGAAGGTAATGTGAAAAGTGCAATGCATTTCACGGAGTAGATGCTTAATAAATGATAACTAGAGTTATAAGGGATATGTTTTCTTTTTTTGAGACAGAGTCTCCTGTCACCCTGGCTAGTAGACTGTAGTGGCATCATCATTGCTCACTGAAACCTCAAACTCCTGAGCTTGAGCGATCCTCCTGCTTCAGCCTCCAGAGTAGCTGGGACTACAGGCATGATAGCTCATGCCTGGCTAATTTTTTCTATTTTTCATAGAGATGGGGTTTCACTCTTGCTCAGGCTGGTCTCGAACTCCTGACTTCAAGTGATCCTCCCGCCTTGGCCTCCCAGAGTGCTAGAATTATAGGTGTGAGCCACTGTGCCAGGCCAAAGGCTATGTTTTCACAGTTAACCTGCTTTTCTATATCTTTTAAGAGGTTAGTTGTTTATCCTGAAAGTCCCCATAATGTGATTCTTTACTCTGTGGCTTTACTTTGCTGATTATCATCACTTAGTTTTGACTGACCTTAGGTTATAAGCATTTGATAAGGGCCTATCTGACTATTCAACTTTCAACAAATACTCATTGTTCCAGGTACAGTTCTGATGTTAAGAATATGGCAATGGCTGGGCGTGGTGGCTCACGTCTGTAATCCTAGCACTCTGGGAGGCCGAGGTGGGAGGATTGCTCAAAGTCAGGAGTTCGAAACCAGCCTGAGCAAGAACAAGACCCTGTCTCTACTAAAAATAGAAAAATTAATTGGCCAACTAATACACATAGAAAAAATTAGCCAGGCATGGTGGCGTATGCCTGTAGTCCCAGCTACTCAGGAGGCTGAGGCAGATGGATCGCTTGAGCCCAGGAGTTTGAGGTTGCTGTGAGCTAGGCTGACGCCACAGCACTCACTCTAACCTGGGCAACAAAGTGAGACTCTGTCTCAAAAAAAAAAAAAAAAAACCGGGCGCTGTGGCTCACGCCTGTAATCCTAGCTCTTGGGAGGCCGAGGCGGGCGGATTGCTCAAGGTCAGGAGTTCAAAACCAGCCTGAGCAAGAGCGAGACCCCGTCTCTACTATAAATAGAAAGAAATTAATTGGCCAACTAATATATAGAGAAAAAATTAGCCGGGCATGGTGGCGCATGCCTGTAGTCCCAGCTACTCAGGAGGCTGAGGCAGAAGGATCGCTTGAGCCCAGGAGTTTGAGGTTGCTGTGAGCTAGGCTGACGCCACAGCACTCACTCTAACCTGGGCAACAAAGTGAGACTCTGTCTCAAAAAAAAAAAAAAAAAAAAAGAATATGGCAATGAAAAAAAGACAAAAATCCATATCATCATGGAGTTTATAATCTGGTGAGGAAATGCAGACGATAAGTAATAAGCATAATAAATAGGTATAGTATACATTAGGATATTGTAACTGTTCTGAACAAAAAACGATATGATGTCTGGGAATGTAAGGAGAGGTAAAATTTAAATGGGATGGTCAAAGTCGTTTTCATAGAGAGGGTAACATAGGAATAAAGACTTGAAGGAGGTAAGGGAATGAGACATGCACATAACTGGGAAAAGAACATGCCAAGTCACAGGGCATATTATTTTAGAATAGCCTGTTCAAAAACCCAGAGGCAGAAGCATAATAGGTACACCTAATGAATAGCAAGGCTGCTTGTGTCTGGAGAATAATAAATGTGGGTGGAATAGAAAGAGTTGACATAAGAGGTTTAACTGAGTCCAGATCACTTATGGCTTTAAAAGCCCTTGTAATGACTTTGACTTCTCATTGAGAGAAATAGAAGGCCTGAGCAGAGCAGTGAGGAGTGACATGATATGATTTGCATTTTAAAAGGATAGCTCTGGCTGCTCCATTGAGGATAATTACAGGTTAAGAGTGGGAATAGGGAGGCTAGCCCAACAGAAAGAGGCTTGGACCAGGGTAATGGCAGTGCTGGTGGTGAGAAGAGGGCAGAGTCTGGATATATTGGAAAGAGAGCTCATTTGCTGACAGACTGGATGTGGGATATAAGAAAAACAGAACTGTCAAGAATGATTTCTAGGTTTTTGGCCAGAGCAACTGGAAGGATAAAGTTACCATTAACTGAGGTGAGGAAGATATGGCTGAGGCAGGCTTGGCTACATTGAGGTCAATAGATATTATACATTTTAAGAGATGTTAAGGATGTTAAGAGATGTTAAGGAGCCAGCTGGAGATGTTAGTCTGGAGTCTGGGTTAGAGGTCTAAGCTAAAGATATAAAATTGGGAGTCACTTTTGTAAAGATGATATTTTAGGGGCCAGGCCTGGTAGTACACACCTGTGAGCCACCACGCCTGTAATCCTAGCGCTCTGAGAGGCCAAGGTAGGAGGATTGCTTGAGGTCAGGAGTTCGAGACCAGCCTGAGCAAGAGTGAGACCCTCTCTCTACAAAAACTAGAAAAATGAGCTGGCCGTGGTGGCACATGCCTGTAGTCCCAGCTACTCAGGAGGCTGAGGCAGGAGAATCGCATGAGCCCAGGAGTTAGGATGTAGTAAGCTATGATCATGCTACTGCGCTCTAGCCCTGGCGACAGAGGCAAACCTTGTCTCAAGAAAAACAAATCATACTTTAAAGCATACTCATCATATCTAAGGATTACCAAAGTCTTATCCAGCAGACTGGATAAGATCACAAAGAAGGTGAGTATAGACTGGAAAAAGAAGAGGTCTAAGCAAAGGAGAGCCCAGGGAACTCTAACATTAAAAGAGGGGCAACGGGGAAGCCAGGCATGGTGGCACATGCCTGTAGTCCCACCTACTCAAAAGGCCGAGGCAGGAGGATCGCTTGAGCCCAGGAATTCCAGGCTGTAGTGTGCTATGATCGCACCTGTGATTAAACACTGCATTCCAGCCTGGGCAACAAAGTGAGACCCTATCTGTAAACAGAAAAAAAAGGAGGAAGAAGGGGAATTATCAAATAGACTAAGAAGGAATTGCCAATGAAGAAAAATGAAAACAAGGAGTATGTTGTGTTCTTGAGGCCTAGTAAAGCAATTATTTCAGAAGGAGGAAGTGATCAGCATGTCAAATCCTACTTGATAGGAAGAGTAAGATGACTGAGTATGGACCATTCACTTGGCAGTGTAAAGTCATTGGTGATCTTGAGACGAGTAGTTCAGGGGAGTGGTATGGGCAAAGCCTGGGCCTAGTGAGTTTAATAAAAAATGGCAAGAGAGGAACTGGCGCAGGTTCCTCTTTCAAGTTTTACAATAAAGGGAAGCAGAGAGCTGGGGCATAGCTAGAACCATCAAGAGAGTATTTCTTTTGCTTTAAAGATGGGAGAAATTAAGAGCATGTTTGTATGAAGGGTTTGCCCAGGCTGAAAAGGAAAATGCGATGGATAAGGAAGAGAGGGATGGGATCTAGTACCAAGTGGAAACAATCCACTCAGAAGCACAGGTGATATCTACTAACCGTCCTTTACAGTAGACCCCACTTTCTTCACATAGATAGACAGGCAAGAAACCCAACACACTCAGTTTTCCTGTTAAGAGTATTTAATGCTACTATATCTCTGAAGGGAATAGGGAAAGAAGGAATAAAAATATTTCTATTTTATAGATAAGGAAAAGGTGAGATGACTTATTAAAAAGTATGCACTAAGCTCTTGGAAAACAATAACACATTTTGGAAAATGGAAGTTATTTGGGGATAAAAATCTTAACTATTTTGAACATCTAACAACTTCCCAAAGAGGTAATTTTAACATTGCCTAAATTCATATCTTTATGTTCTTATATGTTTAAAGCTCAGGTCTTGTGTCGCATCAGTATCAGTTTTTTCCATTAAACTATACGGCTCTTCATCAGTTTTCTCAACCTTTTAACCCATGTCCTTTTTTAAAAATCTATATCTCACCCATCCTCTTCTCCCAACTCAGTTCCACTCATCTGAGGCTCACTGGCCTCTGTACCATCAGGATGCTGAGGGTGCTGCACTCACATCTTTAAATCAACTTTCAGGATAAGAGAATCCCAGCTGTCCCCAAAACATTATTGATTTAGGCTCAGGAGAAAAGTTATTCATGGTGATTTCAAGGAAAAGTTTAGTCTGAAAACTAGACTTAATTTTATTATACAACTTAATGTAGGACATTGAATTTGTCACTTTTCTAAGTGCATGCAATTATCTGGAATATACAATCACTTTTTACTAGCTTATAAAGGGCATTGATCATGGATATATGTATATTTTTAATCAAAATCTTACTGTATATCATAATAAAGGTCAGAGATGATAAATTTAAGAATACAAAAATATTCACTTGGGCTTCAATGAACTATTAGTTTTCTGTATCTCAAGGTAAGTATAATCAGTTCTTTATTCTGTCCTAAAATTCAGCCTATGAATAGAATGTGAGTACTGAAACATAGTACCGTTTATTAGTCTAAGAGGTAATGCCTCTAAAATTTCAGTGGGCCAAAGATTGCATGACTGCATTTAAAATGCATATTCCTAGAACCCATCCCCCATTATATTCTAATACAGTGGGATTGTAACAGTGCCCAGGAATGTGCATTTTTACAAGTACCTTCATGGAGGTGGCATGAATAAAGACTTGAAGGAGGTAAGGGAATAAGATATGATGTGCTATAAAAAACACTGTTCAAAGAGTTTCCCTGATGTCCTAATTTCAAGTCTCAGACTAGTTTAAACTATTTGTTATATGATGAAATAGCCCATTTCCACTGTTTTGTAGTTTCCAAAAAAACAAATAAAAAAAAAAAAAAAAAGAAATAGCCCACTGAGGAGAACCCTAGAGTGTTGGTCTACAAATCCCTGGTTCTCAAATATTCTACTTCTGTAGTCATAGAAAGTAGGACAGTCCTTGCTTGGGCTTGTATATAGATCTTGCAAGGCTGCAGAAGGGGCCTGTTGCAAGCCCTCACCTGTGCAAAACTATCCACTTCATCTTTTGGTAGAGTGCTGCTTTCTCCTTATCAACCCAAATGCTTTCCAAAGACATCTGCAGTCTCCTATGTAAACTGCACCTCTACAAAGGACTGGAGATCACAGATGTAGCAATTGTTAAGTTCTTTCCCACTCTGATTCATCCCTAATACAACATTATATTAAATGTCATTTATATATACCATTAAAGATCCTATCTCCATGTCAATTTACAGTACTACCTAGAAAGATTATGAAATGAGCCAGGACAACAGAAAACTTTTTTTTTTTTAATTGGAGAGGTGTTTTCTAATGCTAGGTGCTGTGAAAGTGGCAGGGGCACCTTTTAACTGCTTCTGAAGACTATTATATTTTATTTCCTTTGTGACTGATATTTTTTCTTTAAGAAAATGCAAGGCAGGAAGGTAAAGTGACAACCCTAAAGCTCTTTGTCAAATTAAGAGTAGAAATTATTTTCTGTAGTCCTCTATCCTATTACATCCTTGACTATTTATTGAGCACCTACTATGTATTGTTCTAGTGCTGAAAGGGAATAAACAAAAATATGGTACAGCTCTTGCCCTTGAAGGTACTTACATTCTTGCTGGGAAGATAAGACAAATACATTGAAAGGTAAAAAAGTTACACCACAAATGGTCACAAAAAGATGAGGGGGCTTAAACTGGGTTTCCAGATGAGCAGAGAGGAAGGAACTACAGAAAAGAGCTTGGACAAGGTATATGGCTTACTGGGAAACAGCTTAGTTGAGGTAAGTTAGTTCACCTAGAACTACAAAGTGTAACAGCCAGAAGGAAAACTTGGAGCCATACTAAACAGAACTTTGAATGTCAAGTCAAGGAGTTTGGAATTTGACTATAGACAAGTAAGAATAGTTGAAGAGTTTCACACAAAGCAGTATTTGGGAATACTGGTGTCTTAGAGCCATATGGGGTACGTGGGAGCAGAAAGTGCCTGGAGGCAGTTAGAAAGCTACCAGAAAAATCCAGATGTCAGGTGATGGGGACCCAGAGAGTAGGCAGGAGTATTATTGCTAGTTTCATAGGCTAGTTTCATAAAATACAACTAAATCGAATTGTGCTACAGCTGTAGCATCAAGATTTTTCAGAGGATGCTATCAAAATGAAATTTGGGAGGTGTGTGATATTTTTTAAATATTTCAAGTAACTGATCATTTTTATAATAAACAATATTAAGGGGAAAGGAATTTTATTGTTGTTTACATTTTATTTAAGAGTTTGTGACTTCTACAGTATTTCACTTTTCATGTCCAGTCGATTTGGCATTGTGCTTTCAAGTACTGCCCCAAAACTATGGCCTGATAATAGAGAAAAATCTAATTCCAAATGAATTCATTAATTCCAGGGAAATGAAAATCTTAGCTTAAACTTAAATACTGGAAACTTTAAAAACTTGGCAGTGATCCTTTACATGTTTCAGAACACTTATTGTTCAAAATGCTAATGGATGAGTTCCTAATTAGTCATCAAAGACAAGAGTACTTGTAACACTCAGAAGTGAAACTGCCTATTTTGTCAAAGTGCATTAACAGAGGAACAGTCTCTGAAGCAGTCAGTTTGAATACCAAGATTTTAAATGAACAGAAAAAATACCCCTAATTTATTATAGATGACTGCCTGTGAATAAAGACAAATTGTTTAAATCTAATTTTTTTTCTATTATGAATCTGATGTTTGCAAGGATGCTGACCATCTTGGACATACCCATGTGGAAACAGAGCACATTTTATCACACCAGAGCCAGGCTGGCCTCTCTGCAATTTGATTCCTCTATCTGAGCTCTAAGTGCTTTGTTTCTTTAGGACTTACTTCTGGAAAACAGGTACCACAACCCTGAATTTTCATTCTGACCTGGTGTTTATAGCAACCACTATATGTGAGCCATTCATTGATGCTGTTGCCACCTTCCTTCCAGACTGATGAAGATCTTTTTAAGAAGATATGGCTAAATCAGTGCTTTTTTTCCTAATCTGTCTGCATGACACTCAAGGTCACTAGTGGATCCTGAATATTGAGTATTCAATAAAACATAGCCTCTGGACTGTTTCCATCCTCAGCACAACCCACACAAGGAAAAATGTTTTTTTGCCCTCCCCCTCCCCCCAGTTTCTACAAAATCCTTGTTCCCTTGACTGATTTCTGTAACTAGAACAAGTTTGGAAATCAATGTGTTTTTGACCTTTGAACTTTGTTTCATGATTTAAGCACAAATTCCCCATACTCAGATTTGCAACATATAAAATACAGTTGTTAACTAATCCTTTGTCTTAAGGGATGCCCTGGAGTTTCTGGAAGATATAGAACAAGACAGAGTCGGGTCCTAACATGGTGTATATTAGAGCCTAAGAACAGTGGGATGAATTAATAAGCTAAACGCCTAAGAAGTATAAAATTCACATCTATGTTAAATATGAACATGCTCAATATTATACTTAGGGAATGATCTCAAAGTGGAAGTTTTTGTTCTTACAAACGTTTATTTTCCTCCAAATTTATTGTACTTTTCTGTAATGATGTGAAAAGTCTTCACTTCCCTTTTCCCAAGTGTTGAGGTTCAAAAAGCCAGGTCTTAACCATTGACTAATCTTCATCTCTTCAGTGTCTTGTATGTTGATTTAGTTTCATATGTAAGTATTTATACTAGTTTTCCTTAGGGATTTATACATCGATATATATATATTCCTACACATATATATACAAGCTTTTTATCCTCATCTTACCACTTGACAATACAACTTTAAGTATGTTTTACACAGCTGTTCCTTGGTCAAGGTCATTTGCAAGAGCAAGTCGGTTTCTGAAGAAATCTTGTTTGGTGGGTGAAGGATCCATTGAGGGATTCTCATTAGTTTTTTCCCTGTATTCTGATCCACTGGACCTAAAATCTCAGCACACAGATAAAGTACAGGTTGATTTGGTTTTAATTGTTTTCAAATATTTTATCTATCCAAATTGTTTTGCATTTGTAAAACAGTTGCTTCCTAGATCTGGAATAATTTTTACTCCCTGAATTTCATGACTCAGGACGTGGGTATCTAAGATTTGCATCCAACATAAAAAGAATATCTTTCTAATGCTTTATGGGAACAACTGTGACAACTGAATATGTCAGTGCAAGATATTGTGTAATAACATCATAATGGGGAATAAAAGATAATTCGAGAAATCCTATTTTTGATTCAATGAAGTAACAACTCCACAAATTACCAAGGCCCTTAACCTAAAGTAGATGGAATTCATTGTTTTCAACCAAGGTTACCAAGGGCCTTTACTGAATTTGGCATTACATTACAAACTCTTGCTTTTGCTTGTTTTAATTTTTAAATGAAAGATTTATTGAAGCCAACCACACATATATGCTACATTTAGTAGAATGCAGAAATGAATACAGTAATCAGATTTAGGAGATACTATAATCTCAACCACCACAAAGAAGACCAAGGCCAATCAATCAATAGTCAAAACTCAAATCAGTCCATTTGAGTCCCCAGTCGAGGGTGCATTCTTCCTTTATCTTGGTTAAGCCAGTTGGGTAATCCATTCCAGCTCTGCACCTTTTCCAGTTTGTTCAGAAGTCCCTGGAGGGAGGAGGCTTTCTGGAAATAACCTCTGACAAGCTAGACTGGGGCTTTGGCTAGCTTAAACTCTGGGCTAGAATGGGTAAAACTAGCCCAGACAATAGGAACCAATATCAAAAAACCTCATGCAGGATGTACGAAAGTGATGTTAGACATGAAGTTCTTTGTCCAAAGCTCCTACACAACTGAACAAGTTCTCCATATACTGAGGCTAAGTCAGATATGCTTCCACTAGCCACAAAAGACGGATAAGCGGCCTCCAGGTCCTTTCACTATACTTCTGGTATACTATTGAGTCCTCATTGTTGTTCATGGATAAGTTACTTATGACTCTATCATTTACTGAATTAATTGGGCAGAATTCAAACATCCCTTTGCATTATTCAAGGAAAGAAGTTGGATCCACACAAAGACTAAAATCCTGATATCTGGAAACCTGATGAATGACTAGATATTTTCACCTTTCACCCTGATATGTGATATCACAGATGAAGCCATAGCTGCCCACCATGCTTTCTACTTCTACTTGGTAAGGAGCACTTTTTTACTACATCCCAGTGCAGAGAGGAAAAACTACTCTATCTCTCAACTCCAGTACATCTAGGTACATATCAAACAAGATGACATCTGGGTGGGGTGAGGTTCTCTTCCTCTTCAGGAACCCCCCCCTGAACTCTCCCTTTGTAACAACCTCCACGTGCCCCACCCTAAAACTCCAGGCCTTCTCTCATCTCTCAGAACTCCCACCTACCTCCAGTTCAGATCATCCCTGCTTAGTAAAATTGTCCCCAAAATGATAGGAAGATGTATCTTGACCACTTCATTCTTTCCCTATATCTTCTATTGTTTATAAGACTAGCCATGCCTGTAGTTTCAGGGACAGGAAGCAGGGAACAGTATTTGATTCAGGCTGCTGTTTCTTCTGAGCTGTTTCCCCATGTGACAGTTTCTCAGCAGAAGGTCGTTAGTAAAAACTTGAAATCTCTACCTCACATTTCCCCTCTTAGCTATATCTGATCTCTCCAAAACCCAACATGTCACACTTTGATGGTTCCAACATGCAACCGTTTCAGTGTTTACCTGGAAATGGGAAAGCTTTGATGTCACCACCAGCCCCAAGGACCACAGAAATCTTCACCAGTTGCGTTCCCATTTCTGAAACAAATGCCAAAATCGCCCTGTCTAGTTTTCAAAGTCCACAAACTCAGCTTAATTTTTTTCTTTTTTAACTGCTCTTCTCACAAATTGTACCTTCCCTGTGTCTCCAATGTCTGAATTTCTCTGCATTTCTTGATATTAATTAACTAATGGCTAACTTGCTAATCCTTTTTAAAATCCATCATTCTACTGTAGCCATGACTAAAAAAGCTAATTTCATCCTCTTAAGATAATTTGTAATGTTTACGTGGTATATGGCCACTTGGGACTCTTCCAAAGGTGTGGCTCTGAAGTAATGCATACCTAAATTACTAGAAAATAACCTGCAGAATCTAGGAGAAAGGGCCAGAGTGTTTGCTTTTATTCCTTTTCTCAGAAATGGCTGTTGAGCTCCTAGAGCCATTCTGGCTGACTGCAGGGCAGATTAGAGCAGATACTATAGGGACAGGCAGGCCCACACTGTGGAAGGCCACAGTGGCTGCCAGGACATCCTGACACATAGTAAATCCAAGCAATTGATGGAAAGAGGAAAAGACAATAGACTTGTTGCTAACCTGCCTTCCACTCAAGTGACAGAGACAAAGAAAATAGGGAGTTAGGTAGGTCATACAAGTGTAGATTTGCTACAAATCAACCCAGAGAGCATGTCTGGAGCTGGGGATGGGTAAGGAGTGGAATCAGAATCCTCTGACTTAAGAAGGGCTGTTCTCTCATTGGAAAGACCATCCTCAAAAGCTTTAGGAATTCAAGAAGTAAGGGAGCACAGGAACATCCATCCTGTTGGCCAAACCAGTCAGCTTTGGTAATCAAATAAACAGCCCTGTGTGGCTCCACCTTTACTTCTACCCACATAACACTTCAGATTTTAAATACAAAGGACAGTGCTAGTATTGGTGGCAGCAATATGACTAATGCAGGAGGGACTGAAATATGAGAAAGGAAAAAAGGACTAAGGGAATCCATTGGCCCTTCATCTAAGGAGTATCCCAAAAAGCTGGAAGAGGACTGAAAGCAAATAAGCATTCATTTAATCAATATTTGTTGAGTGCTTACAATGTGCTAAGTACTATACCTTACGGCTAAGGTTACCCTTACATTGAACTGTAAGCTCCCAACTGGGCAGGAACTATCTCTTTTACTTCTTTTGTGCTGGAGAGAACTTGGTATACTAAAGACCCTTAACTTAATAATTAAATGACTTATTAAGAAACTTCGTGATCAGGGTTAAGTAATATAAAAAACGTTTACCCCTTCAACTATTCCCTTCAATTTTAAAGATATATAGGAAATTAAAAACAATAGAGGACTACAAAGTGGGTAAGGATATGGGAGGGACTTGAGATGGCCTTTAAAGAGATAGAGAAGAGGGTGAGGATAAAAGCATCCATTGATTCTTTAGCAGTCCTGCTCTCTTCCACATGGCCTGTTCCACAGCCAAGGCTGGGCATATACAAAAATAGGTAAGAAGACACCAAAAGAAGAGGACTCACTGACAATTACTGAATATAGGCCCTATAGAAGTACTCTCTCTCTCTCTCTATAGGATGAAGAAAACAGCTTTTGATATGATTGGTGGAGGGAGGGTGATGACAGGGATAGAGACACTCTGAGGCATGTAAGTTATAAAGTGCTCAAGAGGATGGGTAAAGAAGTAGACTAAATCATATAGAAATCATATTCTTTATCTTTCACTCCCCCTAAATCTGAGGCTAAAAAGAGAGAGTACCATCTACATTCCATACTCCTAAATTGTCTTGTGTAATCCTCTTCCCCATTGCCATACCCCTAATTGAAAATACTCATTAACCTAAGTGTAAGACTTTTATATAAAGATGAAGTAGCATTTGCCTCAGAATAATCTAGGTTTAAGCCTTTGACAGCCTCCATATAGATCCTTCTGGAATGAGATAGCTTGCTTTTCATCCTGCTCAAAGGCAGGGGGAGTATTCAGTCCAGCATCAACCTATCACATTAGGTTCTCTGTTCCTGGCTTCTACAAATCCTCATTTAAAATGTTTAAAGTCACTTAACATTTTCAAACTTTAAGATATGTAGCCTTTATTCTGATCAATTCTGGTCAGCTTTCAGGGACATGTGACTTGGTATCCACCCAGGACAAATGTGCCTGAGATGGAAACAATCAGAAGGTCATCCTTTTCCCCAAATATCATGGGCATTTTTTCAGGATTTTTTTTTATGATGTCAACTTGACTTTCCCTTTTGAATCCTTGTGGGCATGAGCATTCGGCCCTCCCAGCCTCAGAGGGAAGAGAACCCTTTCTCAGGTTTTCTGTTGCATCTGGCTCCATGCCTAGCTTCATCCCGAAGCAGCATTCTGGGTGTGTGGGGCCACCAGCCAAACAAGCCCCTATGGAACAAAAAGTGTGTCAGTGTAGACAGGAATGAGCCTCCAGAGGGCTGTGGGGGAGGAAGGCAGTGAGTCCCAGACATGACACAGGTGGCTTTTCTGGCACTGGCCCATTTGGACCTGTGAGGCCAGGCTCTGGAATGGTTCCAGAACCTAGGATTAGCCACATCTTAAAGTCATAGGGCTTGCTGCCAGCCTGACCTGGCATACAGGAGGAGAATGGGCTGAATGTCTCTTCTGGTTCTTTCCTATAATTGTTCACATGCCTAATTTCAGAGTGCAAGTTCCTATGTAATGGCTGGGACCATGTCACTCACGATTCCTATTCAAGTGTCTTCTACAGGGCATGCATATAAGAAAGAATGCTTAATTAATGAGAAGAATGGTGTGTTCTCAACTGAGTTAAAAGCCACTGGTCTTCCTGCACTACACTGCGGCCTCCCTGCCCTTCCTCTCTCTGTTATAATAGAGTAAACTTTCCATGGTCCTCAGATGAAAACACTTAGGAGAAGCTACTTAGGCTGCTTCTTTATCCCATGCCAAGTCCTCAAAGTGCCAAAGAGCCCACTGTGGCACCCTAAGCACGTGATGGTGCTCACTGTCCTAAGCCAGATCTAAAAATCCAGGAAAGCCAGCCAGAGGGAAAGTCATCTGTGTGGCTCCACCTTTACTTCCACTCCGATAACACTTCGGATTTTAAATAAAAAGGACAGTGCCAGTATTGGTGGCAGCAATATGATTGATGCAGGAAGGACTGATCTATGAGAAAGGACAAGAGGACTAAGGGAATCCATTGGCCCTTCATCTAAGGAGAATCCCAAAAAGCTGCAAGAGGACTGAAAGCAATTAACCAACATGGATTTGGAGAGCCCACAGCAAGTCCTCTACATGAAACCAAGGCCTGTGGGGGGCTACAGAAAGATAAACCTAGTCTTCTACGTAGTGGATCTGTAAATTATAGTTTCTAAGGCTATTTTAATTTCTTATTTCAAGTAATAAAAAGACATGATTACTCAGATTGAGCTACAACAAAGTCAAACTATAGATAAAGCAAATCTCCACACTAGAAAGGACTCTGGTGATTTCTTAAGCCATCTCCCACCCAGTGCAGGAATCACTCATAGTATCCCTGACCAGAGTCATCTAGCTTAACTTCAGAGAACCCACTCCATCATGAGGGAGCCAGCTCCAGTTCATAGCAGCTACGTTTTTAGCATATTCTTCCTCTCACCTATTGCCCCTGGGTCTGCCCTCTGGATCCACAGAGGACAAATCTACTCCCTACGCTTCATGCCACCAGCAGAGCATTTTCCTGGATCTATTGCTCATTGCTTTCCAACTGACAGCACCCAGTCATTATAAATGGTAGTGGGCAAAAAGTGGTGTTTTATTTTGGGAATACTGTCATTAAAAAAAAAGAACGAAAGAAAGAAAAAGAAAAGGGCTCAAGCAGTACCCTTAGGAGTATGGAGTACTTAGAAGGAACTAGGAGCCTAAATGTCAAGGCTGGAGACTTATCTGCTTCCAGGTCCTCCTACCCATGTCAAAGGTGACAGAGGTAGGCACTGGGCCAAGAAAGATCTAAGTCTGTGATCCTACAGAGTGGTATGTAATTCTTAACTCCTCAATCCCTGAATAAGGGTGGTTTGGGGATCCAGCAACAGTCATGCACGCATGCACTGGGTCGCCTTAGCAAAACTTAAAGGGGACTGTAGGGCTGTGGCTAATTACAGAACTGGTACTCTTCCCTCCTCTTCCTCCTTGTCCAGTAACAACAGGCAGACACCAACAATAAGAGACCCACTCATCCCAGTACCACCTTCCCCACAGGAGGAGAATTAGACAAACCATAAAAAGAAAGTCTTGCTCCAGGTCTACCCCCAATTCTTCCATCAAAACTATTATCTAAAAAAAAAAACAAAACCATTATCTAAATCAGCTAGTAACCCCTACCTTCAAGGAGAAAGGGATTTCCCTGTGCTCTCTTGCTCAATAGCAACTCTCCGAAGGCAGCATTTATCTTTTCCACTCACTAAATTATGAAGACTTGCTGTTTAAAACTCACTGCAAGAACCTCCTCTACCAAAGGAAACTAAGCAGCAATGAAAATCTCTCTAAGGGGGAGGGAGGTGGGCCTAAGGACCAGTGGACACAGAAACAGCATCTCTCAGACAGGCAATGGCTAGACTGGGGAAATCCCTCTATGGTCAAACGTTAATGCTCACTTCTCTCTTCCTTACATTTTACTTTGGGCTTTGGCCACTGACTACCAGACTGGAAAACAGTGCTGGCCAAAATTCCTGGTTGGTAATGTTTCATATGACAACAACGACCTAGACTCTCAGAAGGACCACAGAAGGAAAATGTCTTGGTTTTTCTCTCCTATAGACTATGGAAACCCCATTAAAGTGACTTTTAACTAGAGCTCAGGCCAAATCCATTTATTCAGGAAAAACCCTACCAGAGGTCCCAATAAACATGAACTAGCACCCAGGATAATGACAGGCTCCTAAAGGCAGCAGTGCTGAGATGCCCTTAGAAAACTTTCCACAGATGGGAGATTCTGAAGGAGCACCCATTATACCCAACTCCAATAGTGGATCCCACTCCTCCCAGTCTAAAAGGGCTTTGATTGTCACCAGCTTGTGTCCCAGGGGACCTCCTCTGCTTACTCCTCTCAGGACACATGATTTTTGGAAAAAAGAAGGAGGGATAAAAGACAGAAGAGGCAGCGGAGAAGGCTGAGTTTGCTTCTACTTTGGGAGATACCAATGAGAAACATCTTCACCCCGCAGAAATCGTGGCTACTGGGAGCAAGCACTGAACTTAAAGCAGTTGTGAGAGACCAGGGTACTTGACACTTATTACTGTTAAAACCTCAAGACTTAGCCCAAAGGGAAATGAGTTACAACGCTGTCTTGTCTAAGGGCTACTCACTTCTTTTTAAAGAGCTTGCGGAAGGAGCTGCGAAAGCCCCCTTTCTGGTCTTGCCTGGGATTTTGATCGCTGAAAGATGTTTGTTCACTTTCTCGTTCTTCCTTTGGACAAAATCTGGTGGTGTCTTCTAAATGCATCTCCTGAAAACACAAAAGAAGGATTTTTTAAACTCTTTTCCAAAGTTATTATCTATCCTGACTGTGGGACAATTTTTTTGCCTTCTCACTTTCCTCTCCCACCCTAAAAGACTATCAGTGGGCACTAAATCCCAACTAAAGCAAATCTAGGCTACTGAAAAAATCAGGAGGTAGAAAGAGGATAATTCTCTACTGGAGTGTAATATTTTCTATGCATCAAATAGTCTAGAGTAGAATATGATATAACAATAATTAAAAATAAGGAAATAAAAAATTTTAGCTAATGTTTTAAAGGTACAGAAATTAAATCCTTATTTTGGCACCAAAATTGTCTTACTAGAAAACCAGCAGTAATCCCCTCCAATCTCTGGGTGTTTCTCTTTCTACAAAATAAGAAAGTTCCTTAATTGTAATACTAGTTTTAAACTCATGTTCCTAACTCTCCATTTTAGAAATAAAAGAGGGAAAGAGTTTTTGAGAGGTCAGACCTGCTTAGAACTAAATGTTAACTAATATTTCCAACTTGCAAATATCCCTTTAATACAACTTTTACAATTTTTTACCCATGATTTTTTTTTTGAGACAGAGTCTCACTCTGTTGCCCAGGCTAGAGTGCCGTGGTGTCAGCCTAGCTCACAGCCCATGATATTTTGAATATAAAGTAAAATGAACTAAAAATAAGCTGTATCTTTTGTGAACTCCTTAGTTTCTTTTTAAATGTGATATGTGCTAAACAGATGTGTATATAATTTATATGCATACAAGCTAGATATGCATACATATATTTACATTCTATATAACCAAAATATTTACTTTGAGGTACCTGTAATTTAAAAGCAACCTAAAAATAACTGCTTAATTTTGAATAGCCTTAAAAGAACCCAAGAAGTCAAAGCAAAAACCATAGCAATGATGCCATGAAAGTTTCATGAATGAGATGGGTGACTGCCTCCTGACAGAGAAGCAAAGCATGGGGATGAATTTTTTTCAGGAAACAAATGGATTTAACTTTGAGAACTTAACTTGGGTTGTAGTAGCAGATCTAGAAATTCTCTCAGATTCTACCAAGATTCATAACTAAACCATAAAGATCAACATCTTGATGGCTTAGTGCTGTATTTCCCAAAGTGTGGTTTTGGGTTTATAGGATCAGCTGAGGGCTCTATTTAAAATGTAGATTCCTGAGCCCCACCCCCAATTTTCTGAATCAGAGTCTCTGGAGTTAGGCCTAGGTATACTCCTTCTGCAAACTTAGGTTTGAAGACCTGTGGCTTAAGGCATGCTTCTGCCCACATGCACATAATGTTTACATGAGTCACCTGGGAATCTTCCTAAATTCTGATTCAGTAGGTCTGGGGTACATATTCTGCATTTATAGCAAGTTCCCAGGTAATACATTCACTACTAGCCCAAGGTCCACATTTTGAGAAGTGGGCTTTTAGAGACTATTTAGTGACTAAATCTATTGATAATATCTTGCATTTATATTGCATTCCATACTGTTTAGTGACTAAATCTATCAATAATATCTTCCATTTGTACTATAAAGTAAGACATACTCATGAACCTTATTTTATTTGGCCTGATCCTCACCTGTCAGGTAGGTAAAGTGTATATATATATTCTTATTTTTGTAGATGAGAAAACTGGAGGCACACAGAAGCCAAATGAAGTGTCCAAAAGCCAAATGAAGTGTCCAAAAGCAGTAGGCTGGGCAGTAAAGCCAGGACTAGAACCTATATCTCCTGCACCTCAGGTGTTCTTCACACCAAAGCAAACTGTCTTCTTTCTTGACCCTTAAGAAAACATGAAGGGGCAGGGCGCAGTGGCTCACGCCTGTAATCCTAGCACTCTGGGAGGTTGAGGCAGGCAGATTGCTCAAGCTCAGGAGTTCGAAACCAGCCTGAGCAAGAGTGAGACCCTGTCTCTACTATAAATAGAAAGAAATTAACTGGCCAACTAATATATATAGAAAAAATTAGCCGGGCATGGTGGTGCATGCCTGTGGTCCCAGCTACTCGGGAGGCTGAGGCAGCAGGACTCCTTGAGCCCAGGAGTTTGAGGTTGCTGTGAGCTAGGCTGACGCCACGGCACTCACTCTAGCCTGGGCAACAAAGCGAGACTCTGTCTCAGAAAAAAAGAAAACATGAAGGACTACCCTTCCTTCGATACCTCTGCTGGGTAGGGGTAGAACATACAGAATATGTTTGAAGAGATGGAACATAAGTTTTGCATATCTGAACAGCAAAGAGCTGACACCTTTAAGGATAGGACTTTCGAAGAGTTTATCTCCTGCAACTATCAAGCTTTGTTCCAATCACATACAGAGAATTATGTATTTGATTAGGAACTGTTAGCCCTTTGGTGGATACAAGTTTCAACACCTCTTTGCCCCCAAGGCTTGCAGACACCAAGGTTAGACATCAAAATACATCAACATTCATCGAGGCCAAAGAAGATGTTTTTGAGTCAATGCTTCTTTCACTAGTTGGGATGCCCCTGTCCCAATGGAGTTCACAAATTAATGTGACACCGTTTTCCAGTCAAAAGGAAGGTAAGCAGAAATGAAGCAAACTTCCCAGGCAGTCTACACTGAGATGGGGCAAGTTGTCTCCTTCCTGGCTACACGTAAGAATTGTTGGGGTACCACGTTCATACTCTGAACATTTAAAGGACGTGCACCACTTGTGTACGGCATTTTATAAAAAGGGCAACTGTGAGGTGCCACAAGCCTAAGTTAGGGATCCCTCCCTAACTCCTTAAGTGTGTGTGTGTGTGTGTGTGTGTGTGTGTGTGTGTGTGTGTGTGTGTGTGTGTGTGAACACAGGTGTAAAAATGGGTCGAGGTCTCCTCTGCTACCTCTTTGCTCTGCACATGGACATGCGGTGTGTCCCGGTAGAGGAGAACGCGCGCAGGCCGCGCCGCGCCTCCCGCGAGTGCCTGGCCTGGGCTGCCACCCCTCCACGCTAGTGAGCTCGGGCTGCTCCCTGCAGACCTAGGCCCGGGGCCGCCGGCGCTGTGGCTTTCGGTTCGGTTTTACTTTACCCTCCTTACTTCCAAATAGGTCTGTTTTTCGCTTTGGGACCTCTGTTGGGGGAAGAAGGTCCGGGGCGCGCCGCGGGCGGCGGCGGCAGCGGCGGCCGGGCCGTGGGGCTGCGCGGCGCGCTCGGCCTTGAGCGGCGCGCGGCCGCCGCTGCTGCTGCGCGTGCTGTAGAGGCGCGGGGCCACGCCCTCGGGGGGCGGCGCGCGCGGGAACTCCTTGAGCGAGCGGCTCAGCGGCTTGGCCTTGCCGTGCGCCTGCGCCGCCGCCTCCAGCTTGTAGGCGCCGCTGCTGCCCGCCGGCGACGTGGCGCTCTTGGGCAGCGGCTGCAGCGGGTGCTCGGGCCGCTCGGCCTCCATGGCGAAGCTGACGGGCCGGAGGAAGCAGATGTCCAGGCTGGACTCGGAAGAGGCGGGCGAGCAGTTCTCGAAGAGGGCCGGGGCCTGGAAGGACTCCTCGTCGTAGGGCGCGGGCAGCGCGAAGATCTCGCCGCCGTACTCGAACTCCTCGTAGGCCGTGGGCACGAAGCCGCGGGCGTCGGGCAGGAGCTCGGCCGGGGCGCGCAGGGAGCGCTCCACGTTGCCCAGCGGCTCGGCCGGAGAGGGCTCGAAGTCCATCTCCGGGATGGCCTGCAGGGGCCCGGCGAGCGCCTTCACGTCCTGCTCGGCCGCGCAGAACTGCGCCGGCGCCAGGAGGCTCTCGGGCCTCTCGTGCTTCCGGCCCTCCATCTCCCAGTCACTGGGCTTCCCGGGCTGCATGCTCTCCATCAAGCTCTGCTGCTGTTGGCTTTTCTTCCCTGGGGGCATCAAATGTCTTTAAAGGGAAAACAGAATACAAAAGATTTGTGCTTATGAGCAGCGCAAGGCCTAGACCAACACACATCCCGCCAGCTCCTCTCCGCCCCTCCCAGGGGCCGGCGTGTGTAATCTACCTGGCCCCCCAGACTCCGACTGAGCAGTTCCCACGAACCCCTGTGCCCAAGTGGGAGAGTGGAAGTGGTGGTCCGAACAGCGGATGCCCAAAAGGGTCAGTCTGAGGTTCTCGTAGGCAAGGCACGACGCAGAGATGGCTGGTGGGCCAAAGACTTCATCTCTGTCCCTGTGGAAGCTGTAACTCTCCTCACCACCTGTCAGTGTCCCAAAGTACCTCTTTTCAACACTTTTCTCCCCCTTGCTTGCCTAGCAGAGTCATGTAAAATAATGGAAACTCAGCTTATGTTCCACCCGTGGGTCATCACACTTAAAAACCAATTCTTAGACAATGTAAATATGACATGATAACTGTTGAACCTGGATGATGGTAAATGGGGTTCACTGTACTCATCTGTGTAAATTTTAAATTTTCACAATAAATTTTCAAAAATACACCTTGTGCCTATGAAGTATGCTATATAAGTCATCTTTATAGCATACTTTACAGCAAACTTTATAGCATACTTTATAGCAAACTTTCACCCACAAAGTATTACCAAAAAGTAAAAGCTACCACTCTGTATATGCCCAATTTCATGGAGGGTTTTTGATTTTTGAAGTCATGGGTAACAATTTACATAGTTTGCAAACTAGGGTAGCATACCCTCAGATGGGATGTGATTTTCCAATTGTGCTGGACTTTAGTTGCCAGAGAGTTGTAAATGAACACTGACTAGAAATAGTTATTTTGCTAGTTTATTCGTATTTTAATTCTGCCATGAAGAGTGCAAATGTAAATGCTAACACTGAGTCTTAAAATGAAACTAGATCTTATGTTTACAGATGTGAAAAGAAACAGTGAAACAAAATATTGACCTGACTCAATTCTCTTTTAACTAAAAAGATTGTCGATGGGTTTTATTTTCCCTGCACAGAGTGCAATGACAGCCATAGTGTTTGGTCTGGGATAATCTCTAGGTATTTAATTTTTTGGCTCTATTTGTAGCACTTCAAAGAAGATAAATTTTTGTCACTCTCAAGAGTTGAAGTGATCCACGAAGTAATATCCACTTTCTTCCTCTTCCCACTCTCTGGGCTTGCCCCTTCCCATTAGTGCCTTCCTCTGGGATCCACGCATGTGGTCATCTGCTTGGCTGGCACACACAGGCCTGATGAGGAAGTGGAGAAGGAGTCCCATAGATTATACTCCTCATGCAGCCTGGCTTGCTAACTGACATACTAGCTGGGACCCAAAGGCATTGCTATTAGCCTTTCCACAGCAACAGGTGCTTACGCGACACCGGGGCCAGAACTGGGAGCAGAAGGGTAGGGTTGCAGCATCTCTTCTGAGTGGATCCCACTGTCACGGACAGCCTCAGGGCCTGCAGTGGGGGAAGCATCTTGCCCGGCATTTGCACACTGAGAAGCCAGCCCTTTGTACAGCTTTGCCATGGATGACCTAACAGAATGAAAGTAATGATTCTCAGGTTGTACAGTGGGAAACTGGTTCTCTGAACACACAGATTATGCCAAGAAAGATAGACAGAGGTCTCTCAGATGAAGCTTGCTGTCTATCTCCAGGGCCCTCTAAACCAAGTTGCTTACATAATAGAGTCGGGAAGAGTCGGGAAGCTGATTAACTGGCTGAAAAGGGCCGGGGGAAGGGAGCGGTGGAGAAATATCTTCCTTTAGAGGAGCCCTGGCTTGGGAGATAGCATCTTTTTTTGGTCTGAAGCACCCACAGAAATGATCCTGTTTTCCTCCATGTGAGTTGGGATGAGATTGAAATAAATCCATGTCATTAGGAAGCTCTGCTATGGGTTACTTCTGATCCCTCTGAAACCCAAATTCCCCTTAGTCAACCCTTCTTGTTTCTTCCTAGCGTGAAATCTATTCAAAATTCCCCTCCCTAACATGTTTTATTTTTATGCATATCACATGCCACAATCTAACTTTTTATTCACTCACCATCCAACTCTAAAAAGTAAGCTCTGTGTGGGATTTGGGGCTGCTTTGTTCAGTATATTCAGTATGTAGAACAGTGCCTGACACACAATAGATGCTCAATAAATATTTGTTGAATCAATGAAGGAAACTATATTCTGGCCTTTAAACTAATTTTGAACCATGTAAGTTTAGGGAAATTGAACTATTTTTGAGGTGATTAGCAACATAAGAGGGAGTCTACACAGGCAGTAGAATCAAAGTGCTTTATATATATATATTTTTTTTTAATTTATTCTTTTATTATTTTTTTTTCTTTCTTTCTTTTACCCTTCAGAAGATGACACACCAAGAAGCAAAGTGCTTTTTTTCTAAAGTAATTTCCACCAGGTAGTAAGTGTCTTCCTCTGGTAGCCAGCCTAGCCACCTCTCCTCCCTCCCCTTCTCTTTCCCTTACACCTCTAGTCACTGCATTTTAGCCACTTAACACACAATGTGGTTACTTGTGACAGACACCCAGTGACTGGTCTATATGCCTATTCTCAGAAGCCTTTGATCAACCCTCTAGACTGCACCATCAGAACCTTACTTCTTGAGCTTTTTCCGTTTCTGAATAAGCAACTCCTCATTGCATTGAAACAGCAGAGTGTAGTGTGAGATAAACACCCGGAGGCGCTGAACACACACCAGTAGTAGGTAATAGTCAGGGTGTTCCTGTTCTGTGAACTTCAGGACATTCTGGATGGAGGAACAAAGGAAGCAGCAATTAGAATGAAAATTTGTTTTTGTCTCTTCTGAACCTTACCTTGACCTGTTGTGAGAGTTTGGTAGCCATTTAATGAAAACAACTAGCAACATTACATATGGCCCATCCAACATTAAAAGCTGAAAGGTCAAACTTGTTACTCTCTGTCCATCCATCACACCAAGGGAAAATACGTCACTATTGTTCCTATTTGAGTTGGATGCAAACATAAAATAATTTCATTTGAAAACTTAGAAGAATCTACTAATTAGATTTCTGAAGTAAGGGAAGCATTCTAATAATTGCTGCCTGTAAGCAATGCCTTAACTCAAATGAGTCAGACCAATGATGAGAACATCAGGCATCAAGGCAGGCTGGGGAGGGGGATGTTTACGATCAAGCCTGGCAGCCCCTACTATTATTATACATTGTCTACTGTGCTATAGCGGAGCATGCGTCCAACTTGGATCTGGGAAAGCTAACGGTCATTGAGTACTTCCTGTTTCTAGGCACTGAGCCCTTTACATATATTATCTCATTTTATTTTTACCACAATCTAATTAAATAGGTACATTTATTACCACCATTTAACAAATAAGGAATTCAAGGCACAGAGAAGTTAAGTGATCATCATTAGGTCACGATCTAGTGAACAGTAGAGGCAGGAATTGAACACAATTCCAGACAGTAGAACCAGGGCTTATTTACTACATTCTGCTGCCAGCAAGACCAGGGTTTCATCCTAGTTTTTTCACCTACTACATGTGTTAACTTGGGCAAATTCCTTAACTTCTTTGACCCTCCATTTTCTCATAAAAAATGATAACAATTATATCCTATCTCACGGGATTGTTGAAAAGATAATTATTGTGAAAAAATGCTTTTAGGGTCTAAAGACGCATACAGTTTGGAAGTTTTGGTTTTTGTTTGTTTTTTTAGACAGAGTCTTGCTCTGTCGCTCTGGGTAAAGTGCAATGGTGTCATTGTAGCTCACAGCAACCTCAAACTCCTGCACTTAAGTGATCCGCCTGCCTCAGCCTCTCGAGTAGCTGGGACTATAGGTGCACCACGCCACCCTGCTTATTTTTCTATTTTTAGTAGGGACAAGGTCTCACTCTTACTCAGGCTGGCCTCAAGCGATCCGGCCACAGCCTCCTGGAATGCTAGGATTACAGGCATGAGCCACCGTGCCCAGCCTGGAAGTCTTTTTAATATTGATATTGAATGGGAAGGAGATGAAGGGGAAAAAATATATAAATATATTTATTACCACTGAACTGTACATTTAAAATGATAAAGATGGTAAATTATATATGTATATTTTACCTCAATAAAAAATAAATTTAAAAAATACTGATACTGGGCTACTTCTACCTGCGATTAATCCCAAGCATTTCTGTTTGTTTTTTTGTTTGTTTGTTTGTTTGTTTTTGAGACAGAATCTCGCTTTGTTGCCCAGGCTAGAGTGAGTGCTGTGGCGTCAGCCTAGCTCACAGCAACCTCACACTCCTGAGCTCAAGCAATCCTCCTGCCTCAGCCTCCCGAGCAGCTGGGACTACAGGCATGCACCACCATGCCCGGCTAGTTTTTTCTATATATATTAGTTGGCCAATTAATTTCTTTCTATTTATAGTAGAGACAGGGTCTCGCTCTTGCTCAGGCTGGTTTCGAACTCCTGACCTCGAGCAATCCGCCCGCCTCGGCCTCCCAGAGTGCTGGGATTACAGGCGTGAGCCACCGCGCCCGGCCAATCCCAAGCATTTCTAAGATGCTTTCACTTTTTTTTTTTTTTTTTTTTTTACTGAATTACTTAAGAAGATCAGTCAGCAATTAAACCAGAACAGGTGGGTGGTGGGAAGAAGAGGGGCTGGTAGGAGTTGGTGAGCCTCTCCTTCAACACTACTTCTTCCAAGATGCTACAAGCCCTGTGAGAAAAGGGTGTGAAGAAGTCAGCTCATCAGCTTCTTCATGCCTCTTCTGTGACATAAAGCAGAAGCATTACATATGGTAGAACCTTGGACCCCAGCCAAAAGAAAGCAGTCAGGATAACAGTTAAGTGGGCAGGTTAGGTAGATGCCAGGAGGTGGTGTTTAGATGGCTGTAGAACCAAAGAGAAAGGGAATAAGGTGTTCGGGATCTAGCAGGAGTGGTTATAGAAAGATCCTGGATCAGTGGAGATAGAAATTGCTGGTAAATAAAGATAGAACTTCAAAGGTAGCATAAGGAGTGATACGGAAAATGTCGGGCGCCGGGATGCAGCCGCTTGCTGCCTCCCTGTCGCTCCCATCTCCGTGGGCCAGCGCTGTGCGTGGCCAGTTGGAGGTCACGCCGCTGGGACCTGGCCGGTCGCAGAGAGCCACCTGGGCCGCAAGCTGGAATGCCCCCAGGCCCACATGCTGCCGCCTGTTTCTGGCCACAGCTGCTTATATGATACTGATTGGGTAATTTTGAATCCCACTGTTGTTGATTGGATGTTAAAGCTTATTGCTGATTGGATGTTAAAGCTTGTAGTTGATTGGACGCTTTTTGAGCCCTACCAAGGGTATAAAAGCAGGAGGAGAGCAAGCAGAAGGGGCAGAAGATGGGAAGAAAGCTGTAACACTAGGTGTGCTGAGCCTGCTGTGGAAGAATAAAGGCTGTATGCCACCGCTCGGTTCAAGAGCTGTAACACTAGCTGTACACATTGGTGCAACGGGAGCACGTTTTCAGAGACTTTAGCTCATCCCACAGGGTATGATGGCATGGGGGTAATCATAACAATCTGAGATGTAAACACTTCTTAGAAATACTAATGATTAATGATTCTCTAATGAGCCTTTGAGATATTAATGATTCCTAGAAGCCCAAAAACAATAATTTTCATGCTAAAGCATGAAAATAAGTTTACTGGCTTACTCAGCTATGCCTACCTGCAGATGTATCAGATATTCAGGGATGCGCTGGACTATGTGAAAAAACAGCGTATAGATGTCAGATTTAATCTCTTCATCACCCTGCATGAAAGAAAGGCGGAGTCACTCTTCAATATCCCTCCAGCTCTGGCAGCAGAACCCCAGAGTCTGTCCTCCCAGAGCAGGAAGGGTTTACTCCCAAAGTATTTTCTTCCCAGAGATTGTCACGAAGCACTGATCTCTCATGAGAGAGGCCACATATTCAGGGACATGCCTAAGGAGACAACTCTTCTCCAGCAGGGAGCATATCATATACATCTTTCAAATCCACCCAAATTTCCAAAGTACCCTCTCCTTCTCCTCATCTTAGCACAGTGCTAGACAGAAGACACTCAGTACTTTGTATTTGAGTTGAATGAATACATTAAGGTTCTCCAACAAGTAATCATTGCAAGGTTTACCAATACACCCTAAGGGTGGATTGGAACCTCATGAGAGTGGGGAACGTGATTAGAAACTAGCCAATTTTCCAGGCAGCAAAAACGTGGGATTTTCTCCATGTTCTTTCCCTTTCCTTCTCTTCCTTTCTCTTTCCCAGATATTTGTTGAATGCTAACATGTGGTAGGCATTATATTGAGTTGGGAGTGGTGGGGTATTGACGTAGAATGTTAGAGCCCTTTATCTCTTGTGAAACTTGATTAACTCTCAGCTTTGTGGCTTCTGACATTCTTTTCTTTTCTTTTAGGTCCAATTGACCTAAAATAACTAAAATTGTTACATATGTATATGTGCTTATTGAGCACCTATTATGTCACCTCGGTAGCAATCGCAAAGCAACATGATTAGAGCCACCTTATGATCTTATAAACTCACAAAGGATGACTTGATTTTCATATTTAGATTCATATCCTCGGAACCTGAAAAAAACCACCACACACAGCATGCAAGCTGCAGCCTGAAGATCTCTGTATAGAGCACCTATTTAGTTTGTCCATAGCTCCAGTGGAATGGAATAGAAGGTCAGTAAGGCAGGGCAAGGACAAACGCAGTGGCACTGATCTTTGAGTGGGCTCCTTTAACCTCAGGTAGGAGTTTCAGTGGTTCTGTTCAGGCCACTCCCCAGCCTGGAACACAAGTTCAGAGTGCATGTGCTGTATTGACGGGGAGGATGAGCAACACCATAAGGATCACATGTGCATACAAAGAACAGCACATACATAGAATTAACGTACCTCCTTCAGAACAACCACGTGAACCAATGAGATGCACTCAGGCAGGTCCCTCAGGTAGGCAACATAATAATCCAAGAAATTATTCTTGAAAACAAACACAAAAACGCATGGTAAGAACCTAAAAACAGGAATGTTAATATTTTTACAGAGCAATATATATCAAAAAAAGAACTCTGCAGAGTTTATCTTATTCATTTAATGGGTCCTTTGTTTAATATCTTTTGGGGGTTTTTATTCATCTTTTTAAAAAATATTTTTGGGCTGGACAAGGTGGCTTTCACCAGTAAACCCAGCACTTTCGGAGGCCAAGGTAGGAGGATTGCTTGAGGTGAGGAGTTCGAGACCAACCTGTGTAATATGGCAAGATCCCATCCCTACAAAAAAAATTAAAATATTAGCTGGGTGTAGTGGCACATGCCTGTAGTCCCAACTACTTGGGAGGCTGAGGCAGTAGTATTACTTGAGACCAGGAGTCCAAGGATGTAGTGAGATATGATTGTGCTACTGCATTCCAACCTGGGCAAGAGAGTGAGACTCTGTCTCTTAAAAAAAAATCTTTTTGATTTTAAGGTAAACATCCCTTCAGCTTGAGAATCAAAACTCAATAGCCCTGCTTTCATGAGAGAAAGTAAAATAATAAACAAAGGGAATCACATAAGTTGAAAAACTATTTTTAAATTGTGAAACAATAAAAATGTATATTTTGTTTTTTGTAATTCTTTTTCATTTCAATTATCTACATCCAAATGAGAGACTTTGCCCAACCTGCGTTATATATCTAGACCAATGGTTCTCACATTTTCTATTAATTGCATATTTCTACTAATTACATATTCATCTATGCATTATCCCCTGACGAAAATAACTCTCAGCTTCCAAAGATGTATTTCCATAGATATAATAATTCTCAGCTCAGAAAAGCATACAGAACATGAATGAGTAAAGTGCCATTACATCCACCCTAATCTATACAAGTAAACAATTTGTAAACTTTATACGTACAGTTGAGAATCATTGGTATACAGAAATTGATTGCAGGCAAAATCTGGCAGCCAGACCAATTTTAATTGGCCCACGAAATATTTTAAAAATAAGAAAATTCCATATTTACAGCTTTTATTAAAATTCAGAAGATCTAGCAACTCTAGTCCCTTTTTCCTGCAAAATAATTGAATAAAGCTGAGGAGCTATTCCTTGTAGAACAACATATGTGTGCCACTTCAGCACACTTCCTGCCAGTCCATTGTGCTCATTTCACTCATTTATGTCACTGTCTTGCCCTGTAGGCATTTGAGTTTGCAACTTCTGGCTTGGATCATATTGTCTTTGTAGATCACCATAAAGATTTTAAAACTTAGCACACTTTCTCCAAAAAGTGAAAACAAAAAATATTCAAGACAATAGCCACCTATCACATTTTTTAAAATCTCTTAGGAATGAAAATTGAGTGTGAAATACATACATATGTACAAATCCTCCTATATTTGTATGTATATATGTGCAGAGTGTGTTTATACATACAGATACATATACAAACACATGCATATACATATACACATATACATGCATATGCAATAAAGGCAGTTATAGAACAGGAGAAAGTTATAACTAGGGTTCTAGTTACAGATCTCCAACTACCTAGCTAGCTGGGTAATTGCAGCAAGGTTTTTTAATCTCTCCAAACCTTATTCCATTATCTATCTGGAGAATGAGGAGGTTAGACTAGATCTCAGTGGTTCCTGTAGCTCTGAAATTCACAGATTCTATTAAAAGAAGTAGACAAGTGAGACAGAGATCCATATAATTTAAGTTTATGGGCAGGGGTGGGGGAAAACTTACCTCATCATTTGTTAACTTAAGGAATAAATCTCCAAGAACTCCTTGGCGAGGCCACTTCAGGACCCTTTCCTGCAGTGCATGAAGCAAATCCAGGTGCTGCTGGACAAGGTACCGTAAAGAGCCAGGGAAGAGGCTTGAAACAGAATGGAGACAGAATCACACAAACCAGGTGTGGAGAAGAACAGAACCTACAAGAATACATGCAGCAGGTCCCATTTTTCCAGCCATTCAAAACACTCTGTTGCATGTCTGCATTTGGATTTTTTTAAAGTTTGTCATTGTAGACCTCACAGCATTGTAGACCTCAGACCTCTTTACCGATGGCCCCTATACAAATATGTACTGAACCAAAAAGAAGCACAGCATTTGACTGACCTTTTAAAACTAACCTGGTACACTCTCAATTATATGACACTCAGTGGAAATTCTAAAGGACATCTTTTTTAGTGTTTTTAAAGCTATTCCCATTTGATGTGCAGAATCGTCTATTCTAATTAGTGTTGTAGGTGACAGCACTAAGGTGGCACTTGGTCATTCTTAGCTACTGGGTAGGAGACTGCTACTTAGGTAAGTAGGAAAATTTGTTTAAAGCTGGCAACTAGAAGCTCGGGGAGTTGGGGGTTATGAGAGTGTCTCTTTTCCCCTTTCCTTCAGTTTCTAAGAGAAATACCGGGCAAGGACAGAATCTTTCCTAGGGAGGCTACTGGCCAGGCCTGGCCTGCTACTCCCTGGAGTTTCATAGAGCACCTTTCCCGGCCTCTAGGTCTCAACGTGCCTCGTTTTTTCAGAGAAAATGAAGGGAGGAAGAGAGAAGTCAGAGAAAGGTAGGGTGGAAAGGAGAGAGAAAGAATCATGGGAAGAAGAGGAAGGGGATGGAGAAGGGTGAAGTGACCAGAGGCCTATAGGAATGATGAAGGAAAAAACAAAAAGAAATGGAGTTTTCTGGGCTATATAGCAAGGATTTGAGCTCTGGCTTGATAATTTAGGGGAATTGAAGGTAGGTTCCCTTGTGCTTTCAACACGCAAGTAACAAAATAAACGAGATGGTCTGCTTGTCACTGAGAGCTGAATTTATTTAAATATTTCCCCTGGGTCTAAAGAGAACAAATTGCAGGACAATTGGGTTGCTTTGTCAACAAGCAGAACTTTGCTGGAACAGCAGGAAGGACACCAGATTGAGAGGAGGGTTTTTTTCAACTCATTTCCAAGCAAAGCAAAATCTCCCCCTGTGACGTTAGTGCAGAGAAGACACACAAATACCAGAATAGGGTACACAGCCCCCCACATAAAGGTACAAGAAACCTTCCACTCCTATCTTCTGCTCCCCGCACCTCCTGTGCCTGCCTATAGAGTCTCCAGGTAAGCAGTGGGCTTAGAAGATCTAAGTGATTCCTGTCCAGATCAGAGGGCGGTCTGGAGGGGTGGCCAGGAGACACACTGACTGGGAGAAGATCATGAACCTGATGGAGGAAAGCACAACTGAAAGAGCAAGAAGCTGCAGCAGCAAAAGATCTAGGTGTGAGAGATTCCCCCACCCAGAGGCTATAAATGACTTTGGATGATATTCCTGATGGGACACTGAAAGATGTTAGGGCACCACGGTAAGACATGACTTTGTGACGAGTGTCCACATAGGTATGTAATATGTCTTGGATTATCACTTTTCTTTCTCTTTCCTTTCTTTCTTTCCTTCCTTCTTTCTTCCCTTCCTTCCTTCTTTCCTTTCTCTGTTTCTTTCTTTCCCCCTTCTTTCTAGAAAGCCACCTCTACTACACTGACCAATGTACTCAGAGAGTTGGAGAGCTGGCACCAACATCCTCCCAGACTGTCCACAGTGGTAATTGTTAGAGATATCAGGGCGGGGTAGCAGAAGGCTAATCAAGCACTGTGGAAGCACACATGTTACATGAAAAGCAATGATCTACGGTGGGTTCTGTACCAAATGTTGAAAACAAGCTTTAAATGTTTTTAAAAGTTTAACAAGAATATTATTTGAACTTGGGGAGGAGTATGAAATCAAGAGATAGTAGAGGGAGAAAAAGGCAAGAATCATAGAAACACTTAACCTGTTTCACTCTTTTGCCTAGCACCAGATCTGACTCCAAGAAGCAACTTTTTCAAGGAGACAAAAGCATTTAGGATTTAGCTTTCTTTCCTGTTCCTTATAGGGGATGAAATTATGGCAACATGAGTAGTTTATTCTTTCTAAAGCCTTCAAAGTTATCTCAACTCCCAACAATAAGTACTTAAACGGTAAGGGAAATACACTAAAAGCAATCAAGGAAAATTCAGTTACAGTTTCAAATCAATAACTTAGCTCTTGCCAGTCCAAGTATTAAGCCAAAATAACTCCTGGGCGTCAGCAGCAGGTTACAATCAAGTTTGATGGGCATGGACAATTAAACATGTGCCACCCAGTGGTGATCTGTAGCTCGAAGCTTGCTGAGCTCTTGGTGGATGGCACTGGAGTTCAGCTTAGAAGGCTAAGTGGTAATCCTGCAGAGCTGATCATTGCTCCTCTCCTCAAGTGTTCAGACAGACCTGTTTGATCCTAAGGTTGTGGCTCTACGTGGGTGAGTCAGACTGAAAAAAAAAAAAAAAAAACCAGCCCAGAACTCCAACTTCTGTGATCCTTCAACAACTGAACATGTCCCTGCAGCTTCCAGCTCTTTCAGCCAGGGCAGGGCTGGCTTGAAACAAGCTAAGGAGGCTCTTGAGCAATTCAAACCTATTTTATAGGTTTGAGAAGATGTGGCAACCTCAGGTCTGAGTGACAAGTGGCAGTTGTAATGGGTGTTATTTTTTCATCCTAGGTTACTTACTTTCCAACAAGATACAAAGGGCTGAAGACTTGTGGTTTGTGATGGGAAAGGCAGTAAATGACAGAGTAAATATAAAATTTATATTTAATATAAATGTAAGTTATATTATAACTTTAAAATATAAAATAAATGCATGGAGAAAAATGCCAATAGAGAAAAGGAGTAACCTCATTCCGCTTTGTATTTCATTCAGTTGGTTGATTTAACATATACACAGAGGTTTCAGAAAAGCTTAGAAAAAAGAAGAAATATAGTGAATGAAGGAGGATAATGAAACTGTAACCCTAGAGCAGAAAAATGGCAACACTGCCAAACTCAGAACCAGAGACTTCAGGTTTAGTACTAACAAAGAGTATTGGGTTGAAGCTTTTCTGCTTGGTCTATGAAAAGAAAAAAGAGGGTTAGCTTAGCAAATAACTAACATGCGTAGCATTATCATGGATATGATGAACCATTACTTTCACTGAAGATTGTATGATAGCTTTAATTTTTTAATCTTGTAGGATTTGGGAGAGAGAGCTACTCCTTCCTCAGTGATGGGTCATAAGAGAACACCTTAGAAAAAGAAGAAGCAACAGCAAATAAAGAAGGGCTTGACTATTCAGTGAGCTAAGAGCATATCTAGCATCCCTACTTGAATAGTCAATCTGAAGTAAAATTACAGGCTGTTCAAGAGGAAAGCTTGAGTTTTGAAATAGAAAAAGACAGAAATTTATGCTTCTGGTTCTTGGAGAAACTTTACATATTGCTGTTTGTCAATGAGCCTAAAGTAGAGGATCATGTGGGCCTGCATTTGAATTCTGGCATTAATTCGCTATGTGGCTTTAAACTTCTCTGGACCTTAGTTTCTTCATTTGCAAGGTAGGATTGACAGGCTTCTGATGAAGATTTCATGAAGTCATAAATCTAGTGCCTAGCACAGGACCTGGTTACTAACTTTCAGAGTAAATAATTCTCTCTTTCTCTTTTCCCACCCTTGTCCCCACTCCCAAATTTTCAGAGATCAGAAAGTGATGCTGCTGGCTTAGAACCTTAAATGGGGAAGCAAAGCCTCACCAAAAGGTAGACTCGCCTTTAGATTTCATTCATGTAAACTGAGCAGGTCTCTGGCAACAGGAAGACAGCTGGAGGCCTTGGAGACCTTCCAGAGGCCTGAAGGCGCAGCTGGGAGGATGAGATGAGCCAGATTGGGGTCTAGGAGGGAGAACCAAGGGGCTAGATGGGGGAGGAAAGACCAGAGAGAATCTGGGCAGCCACTGGGAGATGGGGAAGCCCAGTCCAGAGCCTCTATTTGTCACAGCATTACTGTATCACATTGCTCTTTCCGTTCTTGTTGCTTTCTATTTTGCTTACCTCCGTTTTGCAGTAAAATAATTCTTGAAAATAGTGAAGCCATTTACGGGTTTGTTAGGAAATATTTCCTAAACTCAGTCATTTAGATAGAAAGAGCATTGTGTTTTGGTGACTGGGTATATTGTTGGCAGCCTCAAAGTAGATTTATGGGAATAGTAAGGAGCAGGAATACATAATTAGGGCCTTCCCTAGGATTCATAATTATGAACCACCAGTGCATGTGATCTGATGGAATGTTTAAAGTAATAATGCTGCGTTGGTCCATAATAGTCCATAATCCAGACTTTCCATTCATTCAGACTGGCCTTTTCCTCAATTATTCTGGGTTATTACATCTTCATTATATTAGTCTTTTTCACTGAGTCTTACTTTTCTCCTTCCTGCTATCTCCCAATAGTGAGAAAAGCAGAAAAAAAGTCTAAAAACTATGAACAGACATAGATTAAGGAGCATTGTAACATTGGGGCCAGTGTGGGCTGTTAGGATACATGGCAGAACCTTTGCAAACATTAAACCTACAACACAGGTGCATGCACACACACACACACACACACACGCATTACCTAGTACCATGAGATCACCTGAACAAGTAATAAGAAAGGTCCAAGTCCAGAGTTATATCAGCCCTGCATCATTTACCTAATGGTCTCTTAATACTTCTGACTTCCAAAACATCCATTTCCTTGTACCTCTATGAAATCCATTAACCACGGGGATGGGCAGATGGCAAAAGAGAGCAATGCCTCCCTCACTGTAGCACTTACTCTCCCTTTACATTTTTAGTAGACGTGTCAGACACGCTAAAGGCCCAGGAGACTATACTCATTTTCTTACTGAAAATCTAAGGTTGAGACTTGCCAGGGGGTCCTGCTGCTATGGTCTGAATGTGTCCCCCAAAACTCATGTGTTGGAAACCTAAGCCACAATGCAACAGTATTGAGGGGTGAGGCCAAATGGGAGGTGTTTAGGTCATGAGAGCTCCACCCTCATGAATGTGTTATCGCTGCTATAAAAAAGGCTTGAGGGAGTGGGCTCTCCTGCTCTCTCCTGCCCTTCTCCCCTGTGAGGACACAACATTTCTCCTGTCCGGAGGACACAACGATGAGGCGCCATCTTGGAACCAGACACAGAACCTGCCGACACAAACTTCCTGGCCTTCAGAGCTGCGAGAGAATAAATTTCTGTTCTTTATAATAATACCCAGTAATACCCAGTCTGTGGAATTCTGTTACAGCAGCACAAAACGCACTAACACACCTGCCATCACTGCCTATTCTCTTTTTAAAAGGCTATTTCTGGAATTCTTTATAGGCCCCAGAATTCCCAAAGTGGAAACAATAAACAACTTACCTTAAGTCCTAATCAATCTGAAAAGCAAAGGCAATGAATACATGGATACCTTCTCTCTTTGGAATTCCTCTTTCCATCTGATCCCTGGAATGTTGCCTTTATCTTCAGGATCAGAGAGATGTTAATGACATATTTTCTTTCAGATTCAAGCAGTTCTAGAGCCACAGTCTGTCTTTTAGCTTTAAAAATAAACCAAAGAGGGAATTTTTGTTATCCATTCCTTCTACAAATCCTATTAAATGATAGAAAACAATAGAAAGCAATAAAAGGATATTGAAAGCAATAAAAGAGTCATCAGCAAGTTTTTAGAAGATGGAAAGTAGAATGGAGGCATAGTAATTCATTCAGCAGAAGGAAGGGCATGAAACCTTGGTATTCCCATCTGCAGATAGGGAATATGCTGAGAAGCAGCAGAAAAGTTCATGGAGCGGCAATATTAGGCACCACAAAAAGTACAAATAAGGGGCAATGCTGAAAACAGGAGAAACAGTTGAAAGTTGGCTGGGTGTGGTGGCTCATGCCTGTAATCCTAGCACTTTGAGAGGCTAAAGCAGGAGGATTGCTTGAGGCCAGGAGTTCAAGACCAGCCTGAGCAACATGGCGAGACCACTGTCTCGTGAAAAATACAAAAATTAGCTGTACACGGTGGTATGCACCTATAGTCCCAGCTACTCAGGAGGCTGAGGCAGGAGGATCACTTGAACCCAAGAGTTTGAGGCTGCAGTGATCAACATAAGGTGCAATTGAACCTCCAGATCCTCACCCCCATGCCAGTTGGCTTCCTCACTTCCACCCCATGGAAATGGGGAAAATGAAACTAGAGAAGCCCCGGTCTCTGGGGTCTGGGCCAAAGACTTCAGACAGTGTGAGGGTTGAGCCACTGAAACGGAAACAATGGGATTGGGAAGGCTGCATACTGAGGCGTGAGATTTCCCTCAGCCCTCTTATCCTGCATGCAGGTCCCAGGACACCAGCAGCCAGGCGTAAACTCTTCAGGCAGGAGAGTGGAGGTTCTTCCAGTTGAGAACCTGAACTGCCCACAGAAAAACAACCTATAGTCACTGACATAAAGAGGTCTCTTATCAAAAAGTTAATTTGCCACCTGATTAGCTTGTCTCTAATGAAGTCCAATTATCAACAAACTTGGCCAATGTGAAATTTCCAGGGTTTTTTTTTTAGGGCTCTCTCTTATGTGTAAATAATTAGCTTAGGATGCTCAGATGTTTGAATAAAGCTTTTTACCATAAAAGAAAGAGAAGAAAAAGTATATACACATATATTTTTTTTTTGAGACAAGAGTCTCACTGTATTTCCCAGGCTAGAGTGAGTGCCGTGGCGTCAGCCTAGCTCACAGCAACCTCAAACTCCTGGGCTCAAGCGATCCTCCTGCCTCAGCCTCCCGAGTAGCTGGGACTACAGGCATTTGCCACCATGCCCGGCTAATTTTTTCTATATATATTAGTTGGCCAATTAATTTCTTTCTATTTATAGTAGAGACGGGAGTCTCGCTCTTGCTCAGGCTGGTTTCAAACTCCTGACCTCGAGCAATCCTCCCGCCTCGGCCTCCCAGGGTGCTAGAATTACAGGCGTGAGCCTCCATGCCCGGCCTACACATATATTTTTTGAAAGGAGGGGGCACCTGAAGATACAGAGACAATGATACAAAAGAAAAAGTTTTAAAATCGTATTGTTAATATTATCAAAGAGATACAAGAAACACATTCCAGCCTGTAATAACAATTTAAAAGAGAGGATCATCCCAAAAAAAGGAGAAACTTTTAAACATTTTGTAAAAGATAGCAAAAATTAAAAGGGTAGAAGAGAAAGTCAAAGAAATCTACCCTCCCCCAACTAAAAAAAAAAAGTCATATTGAAGAAAAATAGAAGAGAAAGAGATGTCAGTTGAGAAAATCAATCCAGGAGAACCAACATCATATTAGTAAAAGTTTTAGAGAAAAGAAAGAAAATGTATGAGAGGATATTACCAAATTAATACTAGAAAAAAAAAAACCAGAACATGTATTTCCAGAGGAAAGGGCCCATCATGCCCAGCATAATTAAAGAAAGACATGTCACTGTAAGGCACACTACGTCACCGTAAAACTATAGCACACCAAGAATAAGGAGAATATTCTAAAAGTTACCAGATAGAAAAATCATGTAACATACAAAAAACTGGGAATCAGAATGGTTCAGACTTTTCCAATAGCAATAATAGAAGCTAGGAGACAATGGAACAATTGCTTCAAAATGATAAGGAAAAAAGGTTTTATATGCAGCCAAATTATCAATTAAGTATGTAGAAACTACTGCATGGTGGGTTCCATCAAAATAAGGAGTAAATCAAGAAACCAAAAGGTCACAAAAAATGAAAAAAAAAAGTCAACAACAGCAAACAAACAGGAATCTAACATAGGAGAAATAAGAAGGGAATTCCTAGGCCAAGCCCAGTGGCTCATGCCTATAATCCTAACACTCTAGGAGGCTGAGGCAGGCAGTCAGGAGTTCGAAACTAGTCTGAGCAAGAGCGAGACCCTGTCTCTACTAAGAATAGAAAGAAATTACTTGGCCAACTAAAAATATATAGAAAAAAATTAGCCAGTCATGGCGGCACATGCCTGTAGTCCCAGCTACTCGGGAGGCTGAGGCAGCAGGATTGCTTGAGCCCAGGAGTTTGAGGTTGCTGTGAGCTAGGCTGATGATGCCACAGCACTCTAACCCGGGCAACACAGTGAGACTCTGACTAAAAAAAAAAAGGAATTCCTAGGAAGACTGGGAAGTCTCCAAATGACAGCAGTGTAATGGGCCAAAGCGGAATAGGATGACAGAGGTCTCCAGGGAAGATTCTTTATTTTAAAAACATAAATAATAGAATTTCTGTTACGTTGCTAAGAAAAATTCATCAGGATCTATATAAATTAAGAGATATACCATGTTCTCTGAATGGAAGACTCAACACTGTCAAGATGTCAATTGTCTGATAATTGGAATAAAAAAATAAGGAGTCTAAAATTAGATACCCATATAAGATCACTTGACTTTCTTCAAGCAATTCAATATGGAAAGAAAGGTATTTTCAATAAATGGTGCTGAAGCAACTGAATAGCTGTCTGGAAAAATAAAAATGAACCTGGACCTCTTCCTCACACTATACATCAAAATTTATTCAAGGTAAGTCATGGACCTAAATGTGAAAGTTAAAACTGTAATATAAAGATTGTAGAAGCAAATATATTTGAATATCTTCACAAAATTGGGAGAGACAAAGATCTCTTGGAAAGACAAGAAAGTCACAAGTTATTTATTTATTAAGAGACAGAGTCTCACTGTGTTGCCCAGGCTAGAGTGAGTGCCGTGGCATTAGCCTAGCTCACAGCAACCTCAAACTCCTGGGCTCAAGCAATCCTTCTGCCTCAGCCTCCCAAGTAGCTGGGACTACAGGCATATGCCACCATGCCTGGCTAATTTTTTCTATATATATTAGCCAATATATATAGTCAATTGGCCAATTACATATTGGCCAATTAATTTCTTTCTATTTATAGTAGAGACAGGGTCTTGCTCCTGCTCAGGCTGGTTTTGAACTCCTGACCTCGAGCAATCCGCCCGCCTCGGCCTCCCAGAGTGCTAGGATTATAGGACTTGAGCCACCGCACAAGTTATTTAAAATGTTTAAAATTGATAAATTGGATCTCAAAATTTTAAACTTTCGTTTATCAAAATATTAAAAAGAAATTAAAAAGGTAAGCCACAGACTGGAAGAAATTATTCTCAAGCCATATATTGGACAAATAAATCATGTCCAAAATATACTTTAAAATCCTACAAATAAATAATAAAAGGACAAACAACATCCAATTTAAGAGGTGGGCAAAGAACTTAAACAGGCATTTTATAAAAGAAGATATATGAATAGCCAATAAACATATGAAAAGATGCTCAGTATCAATAGTAATCAAGGAAGCGCAAATTACAACTACAATACAATACCAGCACACACCCATGAGGATGTTAAAATTGAAGACTGACCATACGAGTCCTGGGAAGGATGTGGTGCAACTGGGCTCTCATACGTTGCTGGTAGAGTATAACATTACCCCACCATTTGGGAAAAATCCTTGACATTTTCTCTTAAAATTAAAAATAATCCTAACCTATAACTCAGAGATTCCACTCCTAAGTGTACACCCAGGAGAAATGAGGGCATACATCCCAAAAAGAAATTTGTACAAGACTACTCATAGCAACTTTATTCATAATGGCCCCCAACCAGAAACAATACTAGTGTTTGTTAATAGGAGAATGGTGTTTTTAAAATGTGGTAAATTCATTCATTGTGATTAATAAAAAGGAATGAACTACCAAATGGATTACATACACAAATGTGGATGAATCTTAAAAAACATTATGTTGGCCGGGCGCGGTGGCTCACGCCTCTAATCCTAGCACTCTGAGAGGCCGAGGTGGGCAGATTGCTAAAGGTCAGGAGTTCAAAACCAGCCTGAGCAAGAGCGAGACCCCGTCTCTACTATAAAAAAACAGAAAGAAATTAATTGGCCAACTAATATATATAGAAAAAATTAGCTGGGCATGGTGGCGCATGCCTGTAGTCCCAGCTACTCGGGAGGCTGAGGCAGGAGGATTGCTTGAGCCCAGGAGTTTGAGGTTGCTGTGGGCTAGGCTGACGCCATGGCACTCACTCTAGCCCGGGCAACAAAGCGAGACTCTGTCTCAAAAAAAAAAAAAAAACAACATTATGTTGGGAAAAAGAGGCCAGGCACAAAGGAGTACACATGTGTATATACATGTATATACACATGTATTCCATATAAATGGAATCATTTATATGAAGCTCAAGAACACAAAACTAATTAATGGTAGTAGAAGTCACAACCGTGATTATTTGGTGGGTATTGACTGGAAAGATTCATATCTTGATCTGGGTAGTGATCACAGGGGACATACATATGTAAAAAGTCAATGAGCTTAAATTTAAGCTCTGTAAATTTTATTCTACGTAAATTAACCCTCGATAAAGTGCTGTTAAAAAAATAACAGCATAAACTTTTTTAAAAAACATGGAAGCCAGGGAAGACCTTGGATCCCACCCAGGCCTGCCACTCTCCCTCCCCACCAACCCTCCAAAAACATGGAAGCAAATACCAAGATAAACTGTCAAAAGAGTTTTAAAGTGGTTGCTGTCCTTATTCATAACAAACCGTTTAGTACTATGTAACTTTTCATCATGTATTTGATCATAAAAATAATTTTAAAAAAGGATCGTCCCCTCTAAATAATTGGGAGGAATACCATTGTCAGACACATAGTAAGTGTTCAGTAATGATTTATGATGTGAAGGAAAGGAGGGAGGGAGGAATGGAGGAAGGGAGGGAGGACAGATTCTGTTGCAGTGTTTGATATTTTGGTGATAGACTATTGATAAAAGACTCACGTATTCAAGATTCCACATCCTTGACTAAATAGTTCACAAAATTCTGCCCTCTTCTCCACCTACCTTATGTCTTTTTTCCCCCAAAGCCCTACATTGCTATACATCACAAACACCCAGAGTCAAGATGGTAGTCACAACCGGCCATGTGAACTCTGATGAGTTCCTTCGCCTCTGTTGGCTTTTAGCTGCTTCATCTGAGAAAGAAACCAGAGACTAGGTTGTCTCCTACATCCCCTGAATGGAAATTGCCAGGATGCTAGCCCTCAGGTACAAAGCTCTGGAACACCCTGTTCTTTAAACTAGCAGCCTGCATTCGCCCTTGGGACTTACCAGCTAAAGAGGTTTCGCATAAAACATTCTCCAGGGAGCTGTGTCTGCCCTGGCCAGTTTCCTTGAGTTTATCTGGGTGGTCTTTCGTGACATATTCATCTCCCCACTCTTTACCGTCCTTAGGCTGCCTCCACATGCCAGATGGGAGATGGCTCTTGGACTGGATATCAGCTGAGAGGCAAGACTTGAGGTTTTCTTCTGCTTCTGGAGTTGTTGGGTTCACTCCTAAAACAAAACAAAACACCAGAAAAAACCCTGCTATCAAGATTTTATTTTTAAAAAATCACATCTGTTCCTAACTCTTGCCCCTGTTTGGGGACAACTATCACTTGAAGATTAAATATATCTATTAAGGATTAAAAATTTCCAAAGCCATAAGGAGGCATTTCTCTCTGTTTCTGTTCTAAACATACTGTATGCTTTGTACATAGTCTCTACTAAATGAGAGATTTAAAAAAATAAATGTAGGCCAAGCGCAGTGGCTCAGGCCTATAATCCTAGCACTCTGGGAGGCCAAGGCGGGAGGATCGTTTGAGCTCAGGAGTTCGAGACCAGCCTGAGCAAGAGTCAGACCCCATCTCTACCAAAAATAGAAAGAAGTTAATTGGACAGCTAAAAATATATAGAAAAAATTAGCCGGGCATGGTGGTGCATGCCTGTAGTCCCAGCTACTCGGGAGGCTGAGGCAGAAGGATCGCTTGTGCCTAGGAGTTTGAGGTTGTTGTGAGCTAGGCTGACACCATTGCACTCTAGCCCAGACAACAAAGTGAGACTCTGTCTCAAAAATAAATAAATAAATAAAAATAAATTTATAAAATAATATAACTAATTCATAGTAATATGTATTGGCTCCTTGTATCTGTTTCCTTCCAGATAAGCACACCAGGTGTTTGGAGCACTACTAGGAAGAGAATATAGACAGAGGAGGAGAAAGGGTGCCAAAGACAATGTCTTCTGTAATTTTTTCCCTTTGACCTTGATAATGGTAAGTTGCAGAAAGGAAGAAGGAAGGGAGGGAGGGAAGATGAAATATTTATAAAATTCTGGTGAATTGCCAATTATATAACCTTTGAATTTAACTATAGAGTATGTGATCCATGGAAAACTTATATCATGCTACATTCACCTGTGAGTTTTCAGCAAATATCTATTCATTAGTAATGAAAATAAGGCAGAAAGAACCAAGAATACTGATTTTGTCTGAAACATCTCCAGCCTTTCTCTCTCCTTGGGTTTAAATGAGTCCTTGACTTGCAGTGGTGCACATCTTGGAATCTTAGTAACCGTAATGCTTCTTCTTGCCTGAGTTCTTTCATGCCTGGCTCTGGATGAGGAGGCCGAAGCAGGGAGGTGGAGGGAAAGAGTGGAATTGCTGGAAGAAAAGAACTAACAGAAGAGCCACTTACCAGGACCCAGCATTCCCTTCACATTGCTGTCTGCTGCGTGAGCGGATCTGGACTCTTGGGCTGCAGAAAAGGAAAGCTTTCATTCAGCGTTCATTGCACTGGCAAGGACTAGGCACTTTCTATGAGCCACACACTGGGACAAACTACAGATTCTATAATTTCATGAGGAAGACAGAGCCATTAAAAAAAAATAATAGGAAAATTACCGTATAGTGTGGCAAGTGCTATTTTCTTAGCTGTAAAAAACAAAAAGATACAATAGTGGTACTTTCCTTAAAGGATTACAATACGAATTAAATAAGTTAATATTTATAAATGGCTTAAAGCAGTAACTGGAATATCATAAGAGCTTAATTATTGTTTAACTATGATGGTGGTGGCAGTGGTGCTGGTGGTTGTAATGAGAGGAGACAGAATGATGCTGTTAAAATATAAGCCAGACTCTATCATTTAGCCAGTGGCTCCCATTTCAGTATAGCAGCCAAAGTCCTTATAATGATCATATAGCCCTAGAATGTCTACACCCTACCCACTCCTTTTTTTTTTTTTCTTAACCACATCTCCTATGTCTCCCTTGCTCACTGTGCTGTCCCTGCTGGTCTCCTTCTCTTCCTTGAATATGTCAGTCATGCTCCCACAGGACGTTGGCACTGGCTGTTGTCTCTCTTCTCCTCAGTATCCATAAGCAAACTTTCTCATTTCCTTCAGGTATCACCTGTCACTTATCCAAAATTACAATCTCTCTCTACTAATTCTTTTGCTTAACTTATCACCATCTAACATGCTACATATTTTACTTATCTTGTTTATTGTCTGTGTCCCTCAAAACAAAGGCTCCATGAGGGCAGAAATTTTTATTTTGTTCATTACTATATCCCACCACCTGGGCTAGTGCTCAGCATGGATGGATGGGAGGACGGATGGATGGATGGATGGATGGATGGATACATGGATGCATGGATGGATAGAGGAACTATCTGGTGCTATGAGAGTCTATTAGAGGAGCTCCTGACCTGGATTTGGTAGGAGGAGGATTGGATATCAGGAAGGATGATGTCAGGAATATTCTCTAGTATCTTGTAATTTAAAGTGTGGCCCATGAGTCAGCAGCATTGACATGACATAGGAGACTGTTGTTAGCAATGCAGAATCTCAGACCCCACCCCAGACCTGCTGAATCAGAATCTCATCTTAAAACGATATTTGATCAATCTCACATTAAAGTGTGCACGTCAAGGCCCTGGTCTAGAGAACTTGGAGTGTGAGTAGGAGTTAGCCTGGAAAAGTGACAGGAGCTAGAGGGAAGAGCATTTGGGAAGGGCCAGAGGCCACAGAATGTGTAGCACATTGCAGGGCCTGAAGGAAATCAGAGTGTTGGAATGTAGAGATAGAAGTACAGGGTAGGTAGCTCACGCCTGTAATCCTAGCACTATGGGAGGCCAAGGTGGGCGGATGGCTCAAGGTCAGGAGTTCAAAACCAGCCTGAGTAAGAGCGAGACCCCGTCTCTACTAAAAATAAAAACCAATTAATTGGCCAACTAAAAATATGTAGAGAAAATTAGCTGGGCATGGTGGTGCATGCCTGTAGTCCCAGCTACTCAGGAGGCTGAGGCAGAAGGATTGTTTGAGCCCAGGAGTTTGAGGTTGCTGTGAGCTAGGCTGATGCCATGGCATTCACTCTAGCCTGGGCAACAAAATGAGACTCTGTCTCGAAAAAAAAAAAAAGAAGTACAGGGTTGCAAAAGATAACCTGAGGGGAAAAGTAGAGGCACGCTAATATATGGACTTGTAAACTGTGTTAAGGAATGTGGACTTTATTCTGAGGGCAATTAGGAATCAAAAAGAGAATCTACTCAGATCAAATGTGCATCTTAAAAAAAAAAAAAAAAAAAGAGAATCTAAGAAGGAGCAGCCAGAAAGTAGGAGGAAAATCAAAGAAGCACAGTATTGGCCAAAAGAAGAGAACATTTCAAGAAGGCAGGTATCAAGGGTGTCAAAAACTATCAAGAAAGGTAATAAAACAGTTTTTAGTGGACTGTAAAGATGGAAGCCAATACTTAAAAAATTGAATAAACAGGAGGTAAGAAAGAGGAGATGGATGGTGGAACCATAACCATAGGTTAGCTTTCAATTGTCTTGAGCAAGAATAGGTCAGGAGTGGGGAGGCTAAATATCTTCTTGAAAGTTTCTTGGGTGGGGAAAGGAACCCAAAGGAAAGGTATACTTGATCCTGTAAAGTGACATTTTCAAACTTGTCATTTATAACTGTAGTTATAGAATCCCTTCCCTTAAGTGAAGGCTGGATTTAGTGATTGGCTTCTAATAAATAGAATACAGTAGAAAAGATGAAATGCCACTTCCAAGATTAGGTTATAAAGAGACTGTGGCTTCTGTCCTGAGCATTCTCTTAGATCATGTCCCCTGGGGGAGGCCAGCTGCCATGTTGCAAGGCAGTGACTTGGAAGAGGCCCAGGTTATAAGAGCTGGAGCTGCCAACCACTGCGTAAGTTTGGAAGTGGATGCCCCCTGAGTAGAGCCTTCATGTGGCCGAGAAACTGTGAGATAATGAATGTTTTCTGTTTTAAGGCACTGAATTTTGGTGTAACAGTTACACCATTTTATCATCAAGAGTGGGTAAGCCAACACTTTCCGAAAGTTTGATTCTTCAATTCTGAGTTTTTAACATAAGCTGCCACCAATTATATCTAAAGTGCTGTATTCTGGCACATTATTCTTAAATTTCTGCAGCAACTCCATAGAATAAACTATAACCATGTTCAAATAGCAAGGAAGGAAGGAAGGAAGGAAGGAGGAGTGGCCACTAAATAGTTCATTTAAATCCATGTAGGCACTAAAGTTATCTGGATCAGCTGTTTTCAGTGGATTCAACAAGTCCCGTGATTATTCCTTTGCCTGGGGATAATTATACATCATTTTAAAATGAAGACATTTGCTTTGCAAATGTAAGTTTTAATCTTTTATCTTGTGGACAAGTTTAGCTGCTCTAGACCTCACATTGATCTGACTTGTACTTTCTAAGCCCATCCTGTAGTCTTTTCCAATAAGGATTATCCTTTTATGTCTCGTTCTCCATGTCCTGGAGGAAAGAAAATGGAGCCACCTGCAACGGACCCAGTCCCCAGATGGATCAAATGAGTTTTCCCAGGCTATGCCTATCAGTCTCTAAAATAACTACTCAAGTGGGTAAAAAAAATATTAAAAAGCTAATCTGTCCAGCACTTCACTATGCTAAGTAAAGAAAAACAAAAAAAAAGGAAGAAAAAAGAAAATCCATACTATGTAGTATGTCAATTAAAAGTCACTTGATTTAGATTCTAAGATTCAGTTATTCAGAACACGTTTATTATCTTTTAATATATCAACCAAATTGTTCTATAAACCACAAGGACAGAAAACCACCAACCCTGCCTTTGAGGTGCTTACACCTGGTTGAGAAATCACTGAGCCTATCTTTTGAGGACTTTCTACATGAGACCAAAAACAATAGGAAAAGTCACCTAAACACTGTTAATATCTACGTTCATTTTTCTGTGTACAGGTGCTTGCTAGACATTGTTGAGGATACAAAGATGTAGCAAACATTTTTTGTTTTGTTTATTTTCCTGAGTTGAACACAGGTTAATAACCAAAACTCAGACATCCCGTGGAAAGCCAGTTTCTTCAGTACTGCCAGATGCAATTTTCTAACATCCGTTCTAACATCCCTAAGGTCGGGAATATGGCAGGTGCCTATTTCAGCACACAAACAGGACCAGCTCTGGTTTTCTAGAGAAAGACAAGTGCTGAGTTAAACCACCAATAAAACAATTTATTAGAGTAAATAATTTTTTTACAAATTTCTCTCTTATGGTTGCTATAGTATTGATTGTGCAATTATGTTTAATCCAGTTGAAACTTAGAAGTATCCAGATTAGTATTTTCCCCAAAAAGAAAAATATTTAAAATTGGGCAGACTCTTGTGGTCTCACAGATCCTCTGGAGTCTTCTAAATTCCAGTTATAAGAGGAAACATTCCGGGCAATACACCATTGTCCCCTAATAAGAATGAGGGACTTAAGCCCATTCTTACTTAAGCTCTAGGAATCAGGGAAAGAATACCTGGTTAATTCTGTATGACTGTCGAACTGTACCTTTTTCATAGGCCTGAGAAGGCAAAATGTTGGTAAATTCTTCACTTGGAAGAACAGGCTCAGGGATATTGATTGAACGGAAAGGACTTCCTTGTGTTTGTGCAGGCCCAGCCTGGGAGCTGTGCTCTTCTTTTTGAGTTTTCCTAGGAAAGGAAAACAAAGACAAGGCCAGTTTGCTTCTTAATACGTGAAAGGTTTGGAGGAGATTCAGTTCGGAGAAACTCAAGAAAATATTTCAATTATTAGGTTGAACCATATAAAGTGCTATTTTTGTAAATTAAAAATAGTCAAATACTAGCAGCTCATATTGTTCAACTTAATGCATCACCTAAGCTGGAGAAAAAACTTCAAATATCTACAAATCAACTTCGGATTATAATACTTGAATTCTTATTTTTTTGCCACTGGCTTCCCTGTCATCAGGATCTTCAGAGTTTGCAGTGGTGACAATTCGCTTGGGATGATTTACATTCACTTAACAAAGTAACTTAGAGTTACTAGGAAGTAGCAGGTCTTCAAATGAAAACAATAACCCATTCTCTAGGGACACACAAATATTATCCCCATATTTCTATTTTAAATTTGATAATATTAAAAATATACATGTAATAATAAAGATTATGTACGTTTTGTGGGGACACTTTATTTGATTCAACCTGGTTGAGACACTGTTTATCCTAAGTTTATTTTCAATTATGTTAATAGAAGTAAAATAATTGTAGCATAATAAAAAAAATTGTTGGTGGCCTCACTATCTTAAAAATTATTACTTTAGGCTGGGCACGGTGGCTCATGCCTGTAATCCTAGCACTCTGGGAGGCCAAGGCGGGCAGATCACTCCAGGTCAGCAGTTCGAGACCAGCCTGAGCAAGAGCAAGACCTCCGTCTCCACCAAAAAATAGAAAGAAATTAGCTGGACAAAATATACATAAAAAATTAGCCAGGCATGGTGGTGCATGCCTGTAGTCCCAGCTACCCAGGAAGCCGAAGCAGGAGGATTGCTTGAGCTCAGGAGTTTGAGATTGCTGTGAGCTAGGCTGACGCCACAGCACTCTAGCCCAGGCAACAGAGTGAGACTGTCTCAAAAAAAAAAAAAAAAAAAAAATCATTACTTTAAAATATATCTTTCTAGGTGTTATTTTACATGTTTTTATAGTTGTAATCAAAGCATATATGTCATTTTATATCACTTTCATTTCATATCATATTTGTATAAATGCATTTTTCCATGTAATAGTTACCATCCAGTTTCGCTATTAGCCAACTTTTATGGCTCTATAACGTCCATCACATGTGGCACCATGGAGCACAGTGGCCAGCTAGCTACATACTAATAGTGAGGAAGGTGCTTCCCATGCCTCTGCACTAGCCATTGCTTACAGGTTTGCCTTTCCTAAATATTTTTAAGACACTCACTTGGCTTTAACTTTTCGAGATTCTCTTCGTTTCTCCTGTTGAAGCTGTTCTATTTTCTGTTGCATTTCTTCTTGTTTGGAAGTAATGGCCTGGATCATCGACATGGCATTGCTCAGCTCTTCCTAAAAAATAAGAATTGCTGTGTTTTAAACTGGTACATGGGATAAAAGTATATAACATAATCTAATACATTATAAGCTTTTTAAATTTATTTTTTATTTTTATTTTTTTAGAGATGGGGTCTCACTATGTTGCCCAGGCTAGAGAACAGTGGCTATTCACAGGTACTATCATAATACACTACAGCCTCGAACTCCTGGGTTCAAGAGATCCTGCTGTCCCAGCAGCCCAAGGAGCTGGGACTGCAGGCATGCACCACAGCACCTGGCTGGAAGCTTTAAATACATGTTTATTGAATGAATGAATGAATGAATGAATGAATGAATGAATGAATGAATGAATGAGAGATGAAAAATTTACTTCTATTGTGGCCTCTAATTTTAAAACAGAGCTCCATAAAAGAAAAACATGAAATGTTTTTCTTTTTCTTTCTTTCTTTCTTTCTTTTTTTTTTTTTGTTAGAGATAAGGTCTTGCTCTGTCATCCAGGCTGGAGTTCAGTGGTGCGATCATAGCTCACTGCAACCTGGAACTCCTGGGCTCAAATGATCCTCCTGCTTCAGCCTCCCAAGTAGCTAGAACTACAGCACCAGCCACCATGCCCAGCTGATCTTTTTTTTAATTTTGTTTTTAGAGATAGGGTCTTGCTGTGTTGTCCAGGCTGGTCTCAAACTGTTGGCCTCAAGCAATCCTCCCTCCTTGGCCTCCCAAAGCTCAGAGATTACAGGTGTGAACCATCATGCCTGGCTGAAATTGATATTTTTCTATGATAACTAGTGCATAGCCCCGAGGGAAAATCCTTATATTTGGCTGCTATGAGAAAGAGCATGTTTTCTATTACTGCTACTAAGACCAAGATTCTCCTTTCAGCAGGGAAATAAAAGAGGGGAATACCTTGAAATAGTTTAATGAATTCTTCATCTCAGTAACTTTTTCTTCCATGGAACATTTGCAGCTTTTAACCTTTTCTTCCAAAGCATATTCTCCATGTTGAATTCTTGACAGTTCCTGCATTGCTTCTGTGAAACCAGTTTTGAGTTCCGAGGCTAGGGCCTGCAACTAAATAGTGCATGAAAAGTGAGTTCAATTTACTATAAATTATTAATTATAAAGGGTACCATCAGCCCTTGAATTTTTCTTATTGAGAAACCAGGCTCCCAAAAATCTACAGGCCACATTTACAAGTATACTTAAGTTTGGACAACTTAAGACAATCTTCGTCCAAGGAAAAGAGTGTCTTGTTTATATAGCACATGCCAAAGCTCGATAAGTGACAAGAAAGCAAGTAGTTAATTAAGTTTACAAATGCTCCTGCAAGCTTTTTATTCTGAAACCTTTGATTAAAATGAGATTTGCTTGAAAAGCAACACATGCATGTGAAAGACAAATCTTGATCCAGTAACTCTTTGAATTCTGTGGAAGAAGAAGAGATGATCATATTCTCTCTGGTTATTAAGAGTGGTAAAGATACTTGGTTCTTTTTTCCTTAAGAAATTAAGCACAACTGAGAATTTCTTTGAAAGAGAAGAAGTTTGTTACGATTTTGGTTTTTTGTTGTTTTTATTCTCTTGAATGACGTGAGAAAGGAGGTGATAGCATTTCAACGACAGTGGGCTGTAATCCATAAGGAAGGCACAGCACTATCTGGTAGGATGTGGTGGGAGCTCAGCATGTTGTTGACAGCGATCTGGATCATCTTCAGCAGTCAAGCCTGGTCAGGTAGGAGCCCACACATTGGACTTCTATTGTCAAATTCAACACCATGAAAGAGGTGTCCATTTTGAAGTCAGGTAGGGCACAAATCCCAGCTCTCCCCTGCAAGTGCTAAGACCTTAGGCAAGCTGGTTAATAGTTTCCTCATTTATAAAATAGCTACAATAATATCTGCTTCACAGGGGTGTCTTGAGAATTTAAATGAGTAAATGTAGGCAAGCTGCGTACCACAGTGTATACTTGGTACCCACGTGTTCAAGACATTTTAATTCTTCTCCCCCTTTAGGTAGCAAATCAAAAAGTTAAGCACAAACACAAATGTAAAGAAAATGGAGCACTTCTAAAGTTCAGTTTTATTTATTGAACAAATGAAAATAGCATTTCCAACAGACAGCAAGTTAAGATAGTAATAATAAGATAGTAATAACATTAGTTTCTTGACATTTATGACCTTATACTCTGCTAAGCACAGGAACTCTAAAATCCACAACTCTCTTTAAAACAGAACTGTTTAGAAGGTTTATTCTCTAACAATATCCACCAAGTATTTTAATTTAAAGGAATAAAAAATAAAGTCCAGGTACCTTAACAAAGTTTCTTCAAATGTGTATTTCTAAACATTTTCAGAATCAGGTCACCCAAATGGTTCCAACTTGCAATGGCACCTCCCACTCTATAATGACTTAGTCTCTTACATCACATTTTTAAAATATAGGGTTTTGTGGTTCACTATGCTTCACAAAGGATTGGGGGGGGGGCTGCTAGTAGAAATAAGAGGAATCAAAGAGGTCATCTTGAGGGGAAAAAAAAAAAAAACAGGGCCTGTCAAGTGTTTGCAGCTAGAAAGATGGGAAACAACACGAGCAATCTGTTTTCTGTTTTTCATTGCAATCTTTTTTTTTTTTTGAGACCAAGTCTCACTCTGTTGCCCAGGCTAGAGTGCCATTGTGGCAGCCTAGCTCACAGCAACCTCAAACTTCTAGGTTCAAGTGATCCTCCTGCCTCAGCCTCCTGGGTAGCTGGGACTACAGGCATGCACCACCATGCCTGGCTATTTTTTTCTATAAATTTTTAGTTGTCCAGCTAATTTCTTTCTATTTTTAGTAGAGACGGGGTCTCACTCTTGCTCAGGCTGATTTTGAACTCCTGACCTTGAGCAATCCGCCCACCTTAGCCTCCCAGAGTGCTAGGATTACAGGCGTGAGCCATGGTGCCTGGCCTGCAATCATTTTTAATGCCAATTAATCTTTGTGATGGCTTTTGGCACATGTCCTGATTTGGTCATCATAATGGACTAACTCACCACATCAGCTACTTTCTGATCTGGTAATTTTCATTTTGTAAATTCATCTTCTGTGAGCATAAGAAACACAATTGATGGCTATATATAATCTGATGTCAAAGCAAAATACATGTGAGTTTTCAAATTGAAGGAAATAAACCTGACATTCATTCTAGTGCCCTGATATTCTCTTAGGTTTCCTGACTGGATTTTAAAAAGGGAACCACTATCCGACAGAAATAGGTTTCATTATCACTGCTCCCGGAGGTGGATGCGTGGAGTTTTCCCCAGAAGACAAAAGGTAGTAGCAAGAGTCCTAGGGAAAGGACCTTTCCTCACCTGCAGAGCCCCAGCTCTCAAAAGTGAAAAACTATTGCATTTTTTCACTAACAGCCAGGTTATACAGGGACTTGGGGAATTCTGAAACTATTTTGAGCTGTGTGCCCATTTCCTCCCTGTATATTACTTTGAGCCCCGTGGGGACCTGCCACTGAAGTAACGCTGCGGCTTTATAAACAGCTTCACAGCCACTCACCAGCCAGGGAGGGGAAGCCATCGTGCAATCGCACACCTGAGACAACATGTCACTTTTTTTTGGAGACAGAGTCTCTCTTGGTTGTCCAGGCTAGAGTGAGTGCCGTGGCGACAGCCTAGCTCACAGCAACCTCAAACTCCTGGGCTCAAGCAATCCTCCTGCCTCAGCCTCCCAAGTAGCTGGGACTAAAGGCATGCGCCACCATGCCTGGCTAATTTTTTCTATCTATATTAGTTGGCCAATTAATTTCTTTCTATTTATAGTAGAGACGGGGTCTCACTCTTGCTCAGGCTGGTTTTGAACTCCTGACCTTGAGCAATCCGCCCGCCTCAGCCTCCCAGAGAGCTAGGATTACAGGCGTGAGCCACCGCGCCTGGCCAACATGTCACTTTTAAGATGCTCTGGGCTCTTAATATCTTCAGCCGCTACACACTGGTTTTCCAATACCAACCTGACCGCTCCCTTGTGAATAAAAAATACTCTGAAGACACGGTCTTCACATCTTTTCTCTGCTCTCTCTTCAGCTTTCTTATTTGACAGCCCACACCCACCCCAAGGAGTATAAATGGGAGTCTACCTTGTTCTCCAGCGAGTTGAACACGTTCCTCATCTCGTTGATTTTTTCATGAAGCTGATCTAGAGAGATTATGATTCCTCCATCCTGCCGCTGGAGGCGGGCTCCCGCTGGAGGTAGATTCAGGGAAGACTTGTACTTCGAAGCCTAGGGTACCACAGAGGGCATCTTAGGCTCAAAGAAATAGGAAGGAGGAGTCCGAACTCTTCCTATTTCCTGCTCCTAATTTCTCTTTCTGAATTTTCTTTCCTTTCTTGGCTTCTTAACTCTTCTTAAGATGAATTTTAGTCAGTGTCTTCCAACTTTTTTTCCAACAAAGATTCCCTCAGGCCTCAAACTTACTTTTCACAAATTCCAACTTGTGTTTCTCACAGACTTCCCCTTCCTTTCTGCCACATTACCGAGGCCAGCAGGCTACTATGAGGCAATTTCAGGGGACGGGACACGTGCCTTGGGAACTCTGCAAAGTCATAAATGTCAAGGTTTGGGAAACCTCCACAAGGCATGCCAAATTCCTACAACTCTAGAAGAGCAGAAGCCCCAGTGTTTGGAAGTAGCACATACATGATGGCAAGGATGCCACGGAAACTGCTTTGGCTTCCCCCTAAACTAGGGTCACCGCAGAAGCAACAGAATTCTTCTGCCAATTTCCATCTTCCAATTTTAGGCTTCTTTTGTTGATTCCCAGAAATGCAATAATTTAAAAGAAAAAGTGGGCAGCAAGTAATTTGAATGTTTTGAGTAAATTTCCTCAATCCACTCATCTATACTCCCTATAGCAGCTGACCCTTAAAGCCATTCTTATAGGGCTTATGAAAGCTGGTATGAAGCTTGGTGTGCAGAAAATTTATCTTATCAATTCCTGGATGCACCACATGCCTAGAAGAATTAACTCCTCTGGTGTTAGAAGAACATTCCTCAATGGCAAAAAGAAAGAGACTAAGGCTCAACCAGGACTTACAAATCCTAGAAAACTTTCAATGGCAGTTTTGACAATGAAACCTATTACTGTAGGACTGGTTCCCATAGTTTTTCAATTAGAGGGCCTTTTGGCACATAACTTATTTTCTCAAATTATTTTTGCTATAGAGAAAAATAAAGAAGAAAATAGAGAATCACTCAAAATCTCATTACTTCAGTATGACCTCTAACATTCATATTCCCTTCGATTTTGTTCTATGCATACAAATGAAGATATTTATATGGTTGAAATCACACTGCAGATACATCTTGATTCTGCCTTTTCTTTATTTCCCCCCTAAGATTCTAATAAGCCCTTTTCCATAGCCTTTAACATTTTTCTAAATGGTTTTGTTTTTGTTTTTATTTTTTTACAGTCAGGGTCTCACTCTGTTGCCAAGCTGGAGTGTAGTGGCACAATCATAGCTCACTACAGCCTCAAATTCTTGGCCTCAAGCAATCCTCACATCTCAGCCCCCTGAGTAGATGAGATTACAGGTTCAAGCCACTGCATCTGGCTCTAAGTATCTATTTTTAATGGCTACATAATATTCTATCCTATGAATATGACAGAGTTTACCTACCCATATACTCCTGTTGAAAATTTGTGTTGTTTGTATCTTTTTAATATTAGAAATAATGCTGCCGGCCAGGTGCAGTGGCTCACGCCTATAATCCTAGCACTCTGGGAGGCCAAGGCGGGTGGATCGCTCAAGGTCAGGAGTTTGAAACCAGCCTGAGCAAGAGTGAGACCCTGTCTCTACTAAAATTAGAAAGAAATTAATTGGCCAACTAATATATATAGAAAAAATTAGCCTGGCATGGTGGCGCATGCCTGTAGTCCCAGCTACTCAGGAGGCTGAGGCAGGAGGATTGCTTGAGCCCAGGAGTTTGAGGTTGCTGTGAGCTAGGCTGACACCAAGGCACTCACTCTAGCCTGGGCAACAAAGGGAGACTCTGTCTCAAAAAAAAAAAAAAAAGAAAGAAAGAAAGAATGCTGTCATATAGTTTTTTATTTAAGGTTTTGTACATGTTTCAGATTATTTCTTTAGGATAAATCTCTAAATATAAAATCACTAGGAGTCAAAGATGTTAGGTAATATTTGACCGAAAGAGAAATCTACTAATATTGCAAGGAGGCAATATATTCAATTCATTAATAATTATACAAAATATGTTTGACCAGAGGATTTTAAAAGTTATAATAATAGGTTACATGTATGATATATAATGTCTTAAGTTAGTGGATTTAGAAAAACTTATCTTGAATAATAAGATACATGAAACTTGGGTAATAGAAATGGAGGAAACTGCAGTGTTTACATGGCGAAGGCTACAAGTGAGCCTCAAACACAGAGTTCAAATCATCAGTTGAATGTTGGGTTAGCACTAAATTGTGCAGTTACCACATCTGTTGCCTTAGTTATTGGATCCCCTTCTCACATTGATGAGATTATAATTTTGATAATCCATATGCAAAATGAAGTGATCAAGGGTGAAACAATAACACCTGACTCTAGAAAAGAGAGCTGATTTGATGACTTTGAAAGGGGAATGTGCAATGGACAAACAAGAAGAGAAAAAGGAAGTAAAATTGGGTTTAAATAAAAGGAAATATACTGAGCCCGCAGACCGGAGGATATATATAGTATATATATATAGTAGTAGAAATATCCTACTACTGTTTTGGTGGTAATTTTATGCAGAATGAGCTGAGAGATAGTAGTGCTCATTCTCTTGTTGATTTCCATGACCTGATTTGAGTTACTGCACCTTACTGTCACCAAGGAGGCCAAGTCCATCCAAAGGGTATAGACCAGGGAGCCAATGAAGGATTGAACATTTTAACATTTGCTACATTTTAACTAATAATTTTCCTAAAAGTTTGTGCCAATTACACACATTCACCAGAACTAAATATTATTATTTTTTTATTTGCTAATTAGGTAGTCAAAATATAATACTCCTATTTTGATCATTGCTTCTTTGAGTTTCAACCTTTTCTTCTGTTTATTAGTCATCTGTAATTTTACTTTGGGTAAATTGTTTGTGTTCTTTGCCCATTTTCTACTGGGATCTTGGAAGTTTCCATTTTTATTGATTTTCATGAATTATTTATTTGTCCTTAAACCTTCAGTATATTTTTTTGTAACTATCTTTCCAATTTTGTTATTTGCCTTTGAATTTGTCTATATTTTTGTGTTGGAAGAATTTTAAATTGTAATATAGATGAGCCCCTCAAACTCCTTTCTTTGTTACTTCTTCTAGTGCTTTTTTACTTAGAAAGATATTTAATATCAGAGGCAAAATAAATATTCACTTATTCTAAAGTTTTATGGTTTGGTTTTTTAAATATTTAACCCTTTAATCCACTTTGGAGTTTATCTTGATTAGGGCATAGAGTGACAAAAGCTTCTTTCTTTCCCAAAGAACCAGACAATTTCTCAATACTGGCACCAGACTGAACAACTACATCAGACCTTTTGGCTCAAAGCAATATACACAACTTGTATATATTCATTCATTCATCCAGCTAATATTTATTGAATATGTATTATATGCCAGGCACTGTACTTTTTGCTGAGAATACATCAGAGAGTAAAATGGACTAAATCCCTGCCCTTAGAGCTTACATTCTAGATGAGGAGACAGACAATAAAAAAAAAAAAAAGAAAGAAACAAGTTGATATAAACGATAATGTCAGGTAGGGATGGGATCTGTCAAGAAAAGAAAATAAGGAGATAGAGAATTGCTTAAATTTCATATTTTGCTTTAGATACCCTCCCTCCCCAGTATTGATTTTATTCTATTATAGTTAACTCCTCCTCACTTCCCTCCTCCCTCTTCCTTGTCTTCTTTCTTCTCCTCTTTCTTCTTCTTCTCTTGTTTAAATGTTGCTTGGAGTAAACAGACTAGGGCTTAGGAAGTGTTCTTTTAAAACAAGGGTAGGGTTATAACAGCATCCCAGAGGTCATATAGACCAACTTCACTTTTCCATTGCTTCATGTGTTCCACTGTGATCAGATGTACTTGGATTTGTGATACAATAAGATAATGAGGCCACCCCCATTGCAGCTATATTTAGCTAACATTCAGGGAGTGACCTACATAAAACCTATAATAGACTTTAAATCATACCTCAGTTTAAAGAGGTACCCACGTTCATTCAAAGGCCACATATAGGTCAGCTGTGAACAGAAGGGAGGTGGACAGGGAAAAGCATTGGAGCTCTTGGACCAGTGAGGCATCACATCAGTGCTGAGGGAAGATCCACTCCTGCTTCCAGGCCTTTGTTGAAGTTGGTCCTTTCCCATATCCACTTGTCAAATGATTCACTTGTCCTTAAGTATCCGGTTCAAATCCTCCAATCAATATTAATTCATCCTTCCGCCACAGAATTTTATAAATGCCTCTGTTGTAATTCTTTCAACAGCCTACCTGTGTAAGCTATTTATTCTATATATTTTGCAGGTTGTAGATGCTTAAAATCAATGAGAATGTCTGTTTCATCTGTTGAATTTCCCTTTAGGCTAAGCGGTAGACTTTGCACAGAGTAACTGCTCAATAAGTATGCAGTTGAAATGAAGTTGTTTCCTCTACCCCATCCTCCAGTTGGTCTGAGTCTAGGAGCAGTATGGTTAAAAAAGTTTTCATAATTCTTCTATGCTGGCTTGCCCTAATTGGGCTCACAGCAATGATCTCTTGAGTGATATTTCTGGTAACTACTTATTTTCACTTTATTGTCACTTTAACTCAACAAATCTAAATGACATTTCCCCTAAACTGTCTGCCTCTGGACTCCTATATTTCTGATTGAGAGACCACTTTTTTTCCTAGTTACCTTAGAGCCAACTTTGAAAGCACCCTTTCTCCCACTCCCCCACAAAGCCCTGTCAGTTCATTCTTTCTTCTCCTGTACTCCAGGTAATGCTGCCTGAAGTCTAGAGAGGATAGACCATCAGTTTCCCTAGCAAGCTGCTTTAAATTACAAATTATGTCAGAATAAACTTCCATGATTTTTAAGAACAGAGATTTACTTTAAATTTACAGTTGGGAGATAGCAGCTGAAAAAATACTATTTAGAGAGCCAAAGCAGCCTGATCTGACTCTCATTGCAAAGACGTTTTGCAGAACTTTCATCTTCCTTATAAATTAAATTATTCCCATTATTTGAAAGTAGCTTAAAATTTTTGCTATAAGTATATTTGAACATTTGCAATGTTAACGCCCTTTCAATTCCCAATTCTCCCTAAGAATTGAGAAACTAAGAAAAACAGGTCTTGCTCTCTCCTCCTCTCTGCTGGAAATATTATTGTGTAGTATATTGGCCATAGTGACAGTGGCAACAAGCAAGAGAAGCAGGGGTGAGGTTGGGGGAGTATTTCTGCATTTTATAAACTGGATAACTTGTCCTTCAATAATCAGTTCTCTCTAAAGTACAATGAGTGAGTGGTGGTACCCTCTGCCCTGCCTATATCACAGTCTTGTTAAGAGAACAAATACAACAATGTACGCGGAAGCACTTGTGAGTGCTAAAAATCTCTGTACACAAAGGACAGCCATCACTATTGCACATGGGAGCATTCAAAACAATCTACTTGTCTTTACCTGGTAGATCTGTGTGGAAGGACTATTCACCGGCATGTGTTCATTCTCTCCTGTAGGGAGAAAGAGCTTTGTTCAATCAGCACGACTCATTCTTTCCCTATCCTCTTCAGATACATGCAGGGAATAAGGGAACTTATAGGATCCACTATCTGTGCCCATGTGACAGGAAACCAATGATTCAAGAGCAACAGATATTAAGCTGGTATAAGTGGTTTTTATATTCACACGTCGTACGTAATGACCAAGCTGTAGCTACCTGATATACTCTTGTAGTAAACCATGTTCTACCACAGTAGGGAAGTTTCTCAACCAAACCAAATGATTGGTGGCCATTAAATAGCCAGAAGGGAATGCACCAGAAGTGTCTCCCTCATGTTCTTAAGGCTGACTGAAGTTCACCCAAGGGGGCAGTTCTACAGTCAGGAAGGTGGCTATTCACCAGGCACGTATTGATCTCAGGAGACCTGCAAAAAGTGTCCCTTACTTCTCCTACCTCTGGTGTTTATCAAACTTCTGAACTCTTCCCTACTGTCACAGCCAGGATCAGCTAAGGGAATCTTGCTGTCCTCCTGGGCAAGAGGGCTGATAGAAGGGAATTGTCAATGGAAAGGTTCTGGGAAGGGGCAGGCAGAAGAAAATAGTATTGTCCACACTAGAGACTGGGAAACACAGAACAAACATAAAGGAAGAAGTAGTAGGTTGTAAAAGCTATTAATACTTAAAACCTATGGAGAAAATAAGGTTGGCCTAGAATGTACATTTGGTTGTGTGGATGTGTATACCGTTCTCCTAAGACACACTGGAATAGGAAACCCCTCCTTAGAGGAACCAGACATTGTGTGTTAAGTGCATAAATAATATATAACCTCATCCCAGACCTTATACACGCAGACGGCTGCCCCTATAAAATCCAGGTGGTTTGAGATTACCAAAACTCCCTGCACAAGCTTGAGTAAAGATTATTTAGCCCATTTTATACTATGTCCCAACAGCCCGGTATAATGGCAAGAACCGAGACTTGGGAACAAAGACCAGGATCCCAGACCTAAGTTTGACACTTTGGAGTTGTAGCCTGCCTCCTCTATGATTGTTTCCTCCTCTGTAAATTGGAGATGACAGAACCTACTTCCACAAGGTTGCTTCTATATGGTAAGATTAAAAAGCAAGGCACTATGCTTCTAGACTAGCTGAGAAGGTGCTAGATGTCTATTAGTTGAATCTGTGTCTTAGCCTTACTCAGCATATTGTTCTTAGACAGTCCTAAAGTTATTGCTAAGAAAAATAAGATAACAATTCTGACAAAATTATATAGATATAGCATTTCCTATTTTCCAGTCCCAAATCTGTGTTCGTCATGGTCATTATCTGATGATAGGGAAATGAGAATCGTCAAGTTAACATATTGTCATGTTTTGAGACAGTGGCAAGACAAGACTAAAATCTACATTCCTTGAATACCGAGCCCTAAAGCAAGACAGAGGAAACATCTGACCTTGCTTTGTTTTGGTTTTTTCCATGGTGCCTGTTGCTTCTTCCCTCCAGTCTATTCTTCAACATTGCATCATCATTGTCCTGGCTCAGGCCACCGCCTCTTCCTCGCACCTGTCAATTGAAATCAAGAGCAAGGGACAGCAGGTAGAACTGGTGAAGAAACTGGACTTACTTTATGTGTCAACTTAAAAAAATTGAAATGAACACAGCTTGTGGTTTATGCAATTTCAGAAGAGTAAAAACATTAAGTTGAGTAAAATTTAGCTTAAAGATAAATATCATTTTGCGAATAAATATGAAATTCATTATTTGAGTGTGGGGTAGTTTTAAAATCCACCACATTCTTTATTTGGATGCATTAATTTTATTAGCAGGTTATAATTTAGGGAAATTATCTTAAGAAGAAAAAACTTGAGCAAGTATGAAGGCCAATACACCTGTTTCCATTTCATTAAACAGAAATTTCATTGATGGCCTTGTCCTTACTTTCAGCATCTGGTAGACTCCTTTGCACCCAGAAGATGCTTGTCAAATGTGGCCTGGCTGTCGTGACCATTAGATACGAAGCTGCAAGGTCAGAGTGCCATCTAACAGGCACACACACAGTCAGTGTTGCAGACACTGGCCTTCTTTTTAACCATCCAGCATGTTAACACTTCCCTGTGTTTGGAGAGTTCCCCTGCCCTACAAGGCTTGATGTCTCTATAGGGGCACTAGAGAGGCTAAAAGTGCCAAGGTCTCCTAGCTCCCTTGCAGCTGAGGCATGACAGACACATGACCTAGGGGATACCAGTCAGATGCAACCACCTCAACTGACACTGGCACTTGCAGAAAGATTTCAGATATACCTGATATTCTTTCTACTTTCTAAGAAACAGAGTTGTAAAGACAAGCGGCAGCAGCAAAGATAGTGGTGGTAATCAACATCTGGTACAGACAGTTGAGGAAACTCAAGCTGCTGCTTGTGGTGCTTTCCCCACCAGAAAAGTGAGATGCTATATGATTTGGGACATTGTTGCTGGCCAGATAATCCCAGGTTGGGTTCTCCAGCCTCCCAGCAATTTTATGAGCTACTCATCTCCTTTCGACAAATTCTTCTGGCTTAAATCAGCCAGAGTTGTTTTCTGTTGCTTGCAATTAAGAAACTTGATTGTGTCTGGGTGCAGTGGCTCACGCCTGTAATCCTAGCACTCTGGGAGGCCGAGGTGGACGGATTGCTCAAGGTCAGGAGTTCGAAACCAGCCTGAGCAAGAGAAAGACCCTGTCTCTACTATAAATAGAAAGAAATTAATTGGTTAACTAATATATATAGAAAAAATTAGCCGGGCATGGTGGCGCATGCCTGTAGTCCCAGCTACTCGGGAGGCTGAAGCAGGAGGATTGCTTGAGCCCAGGAGTTTGAAGTTGCTGTGAGCTAGGCTGATGCCATGGCACTCAGTCTAGACTGGGCAACAAAGCGAGACTCCGTCTCAAAAAAAAAAAAAAAAGAAAAGAAACCTGATTGAAACGGTACAAATATGTTAGCACTATGCAAGATCAAGAAAACACAAATTCAAAATTTTGTTTATCACAAAATTTTAACAAGTTATATCACTCTAGAAAAGACCAATCTAATCTATAGCGACAAAATGTAGAGCAGCAGTTGCCTAGCGCAGGAGGTGGAGGGATGACTGGGAAGAGGTACAGGGAACTTTTGCAGGTGATAGAAAGGTTCTATTGCTTAATTGTGTTATGGTATATGAGAACATACATTTGTTCAAACTCATCGAATGTATATTTTAATTGGGTGCATTTTATCCTATGTAAATTATACCTGAAGAAAGGTGACTTAAGACCTTTCATTCACATCCTGAGGTCTCTGAAGCAAAATAGTAAATTAGCAAAGATACACATGGAGGGTACACATGGATGACAAGGCACTGGGGAACAGCTACATAGTTATAAATGAGGAATATAAAGAAAGGCCATATGCTATTTGAACTCTTTCTTACACACATTTCACGTGAGCATGAAAGTTATGTCAGGATAGGGCATCTCCCTAGCTATCTTAATCTCTTTTCATAGCTGATATAAGCTTTACTAAGATGAAGACATTCTTCTCTTTAGCAATTGTTAATTTATTTGATAAGCCTATTAATATCTATCAAATAAATAATGCATTCCATGATGAATATAATTAAATAATAGAATGTTAGAGCCAAAAAGGCCCTGAGAAAATTATTTCATAACACTTGTTCATTAATAGGTGAAGCCACCAAGGCCTGGAGAAGGAAACTGAAGTGGCCTGCCCAAAGCTACACAGCTTTTAAAATTATTATTAGAAGTGATTTCTGTTACTATTTGGGGAAAAAAGTCTTGAAATAGGTAAAGCCTTATTTTTATGGGATTTTTATGGATAACTTGTTCCCAGGGATTTAGCTATCCAATCTACAACTAATTGAAAACAAACAAGCAAAAGAATCCATATATCATACGTAAAATGAAAATTTACACATTTGCAGAGCCAGGGCATCCTCAAATGCAGATACATACACATGGCCACTGATTTAAAGACATAATAAAAGATATGTGACTGATAGTGAGTTAGACATTCTATTTCATTTAGTTAATTACAAAAGCAACAAAGCTACATTAGAGAAAATTTGGAAACTATAAAGGGAGAAAAACAACTATAATGCCTCTACTTACACAACTATCATGATCATTTGTTTGTATTGCCTGTCAATCTTTTTTCTCTGGAATGTTTGACATGATTGTTAATGGAGCCTACCTAAAACTTTGTACCTAACTATTCTACCTAAGTTATAACATAAGCATTTTTCTTTTAAAATTGGATTATTATTATTATTCATGCTGTTTTCATTATGGCCGTTTGAGCCGAGGGTACAAAGTGTTCTTCCCCAATCCCAACTGGGGTTGACAATCTCTGGTGTTCTTCCATTCCTGTCTCCATCCTTACATAATCACATATAAGCATCTATACAGAATATACACATATGCGATAGGGCTGTCATTGTAGATTCATACTATACTTCTCTGCATATTACCTCTCTCACTTAATACATCATGGCAATCTCTCCAAGTTAATTAGTGTAGATCTAAGAAATGATTATTATTTTTTCTAACTTTGCATTGGACGGGTAATGTGCCAACATTGTAACAAGGTTTGAAGGAGGCACATCTCACACATGAGTGTGAAAACACAATCATCCCGCTTAGGAACCACAAAAGAATCTCTAAGAAATTATTCTTAAGGGCTGCATAATATTCCACAGCACAAATGAAGTGGGTTGATCATTCCTCTTTTCATGGGCATTTCTTTTATTTCCACTACTTTGCCACTGCAAATAATGCCACAACAAATTTCTTGGCACATAGATCCTTACATATTGGTGCTTTTATTAATGTGGGATTTTCATAGATGTGGCTAGGCTGCTTTCCAAAAAGGCTATAATTAATCTCATTTTCCAAGCGCATTGCATGGGTACCTTTTCTCCTGCATCCCAGCCAATAGTGTATGTTTATACTTTTTAGTTCTTGTCAGTAAGGCGGGTGACAAGTGATATTTCATAGTTACTTTTGCTGATTTCTAGTGCTAAATCTCTAAATATACTTCCTGGAGAGAATCTCTAATATAGAGAATATATTCTCTAATATAGAGAATCTCTAAATATACTTCCTGGATATCCAGATTTGTTCCTCTATACATTATCTCTTCCGCTGATTTGCCTATTTTTCTACTGGGTCATCTGCCTTTTCCTTATCAATTAGTAAGAGTTTCTATATAATAGATATTAACTATTTGTCATATGCAATATTTTCCCCATATATCTTTTTTGTCTTTTGACTTTGTGGTTACTTTTGCTATTGAAACATTTTAAAATTTATGAAGTCAAATAGATCTTTTTCCTTAATTGTTTCTAGGTTTCTTGAGTTGGTTTAAAAGCTCTCTACAATGCTGAGGTTACATGTATATGTTTTCTTAAATTTTCTTCTATGGTTTTTCTCATTTTTAAAAGTGTTTAATTCATGTGAAATTTGTTTTTACTTATGGAATAAGAGAATATTCAACTTCCTTATATTCCAGATGTATTGCCACTTGTACCTGCACTGGTTATCAAATAAATCATCCTCTTCCTTCATGGAATTGAAATATCAATTTTTGTCATATATTAAATTACCATATATATTATGGGTTCTCTATTCTATTCTGATCTATCTACCTATTCCTATTCCAAAATCACAGATTGCAGATGTTTTTCAGTGTTTTAAAAATATTTGAAAGGCAAGCCAACCATTATTCTTTTTTATAAATTGCTTTTCCTGACATTTATTTTTCCATATGAACAAATGAACTACAAAATCATTTTACCTGTTACAAAAAAATGAAGATTTTCATTGAAATTGCATTAGATGTATATATTAATTTGGGAGAATTTACATTTTTCTTACATGAAATCTTATCATCCAGGAGCAATATAACTCTTTTCGTTTGTTTGGATCTTGCTTCAGGTGGTTTAATCAGATTTTGTATTAGATTTTATAGTCAGTTTTCTTCTTAAAGGTCTTGTACTGTTTTGTGAAATTTATTCTTAAAGTATGTTATAGTATTAGTGTGAATGGCATTTTCCCCATTTCCATTTCTAACCAGTTTTTGTAGTCTTTTTTGTGTATTTATTTTGTATTCAGCCACTGTATCAAATTCCTGTATTAATTAGGGAAAATTTTTTAAATGGGAATTCCTTTATTTTCCAGGTTATTTTTGTCCTTATTTTCAAATATTTATAGCAGTTTTTTATTGCTCCATCTTATTGAATTTGCTAGAGTTTGCAGAATAACGTTTACTAATAATGGTGACAGTGGACATCATTATTCATTTTCTGATTTCAGTGTGAATGGCTTTTAGAGCCATTTAAAATTATGTTTCCTGTCTTTGGTAGATGAAGTTTTCTTTTAGTCCTATTTTACTAGAATTTTTATTAGAAATTGATACTGGATTTTATTTAGAGCTTTAGCAGCTATTGATAGGATAGGATTTTTCTCCTTTAATTTATTGTCATAAAGGATTATGGTAATTCCCTGATGTTGATCATCCTTAGATGCCTTGAATG